GGGCATTCCCATTAAGAGAGCAGAAGAGAAAACTTTCTTCTGTATTATAAAGCTCAGGTGTTCCAAAAGCAGCAATTAAATGAATTTATGTTTTGAGATGCTTCTAGACGATGAGACATGGTGAATTGCTAGTGGTATGTACCTTTATTATGACGTAGTTATTAATTATCATGCATACTTTCAGTATCACAAACTAAATATTATGGTTAAAATCATTGTTAACAGTGACAATCAAGGTATATATCTATTGCTTATGTTACATGTTCCTCAAAAAAGGTATTTTCTGTATACTTTTTTTGAAAACATCATATTACAAGTAGAAAAAATTATCAAACATAATACTCATTGATCCAATCTTATTTCGAGCTTCCTTCGTTAATAATTACATTAGAAGATACTTTATTAAAACAAATACTTCAGAAGTATTTTTATTTTATCTTGAATTGCAATTAAAATGGTGAGGGAGGAGGTTATTTTAAATTAGTTAAAGCTGATAAAATGTTGTTTTTTAGTTTCCAATGAGGTTGTAAAAGGAATAGAGTAAATGAATAAGGAACTATTTCAGAAATTCAATATTTTTCTTTCAAAAACTAAATTTAATTTAGTTCAGACTTTCTTTAACACTTTTTAAGTCAGATTATTATTTTTCCGGGAGAAGTGTAAAATAAAAAAATAATTAATACTACTCGTACAAGGAAATTTAATCAACAAGTGATTACAGGAAGCATTATATAATTCCAAACTTTCCAAACAAAAAATGCCTTGAATCCTCTAGAATTGTGAAACTCAAAGATTGAAAAACAAAAATATATTACAATAAAGTACAAATGTACTATAATTTCTATGTCTCGTTGCAACGCCAATAATAATGATTTTTCACACTGCTTACATAATTACGAAAAGATTTTTGCAATACTTTTAAATGGATAAAAAAGTTATTTAGATTATTTGCTTGTAAATTAGAGTCAATATTTACCGAGAACTCGGTTTGTTAATTGCAATATATGCTTATGACAACAAATGTTTTGTTTCTCAATGAAAAATGCTTTTAATGTCAATTCTTATAACGGAGATTGTGAGGAATAATTTATCTGGCAGTTATTCGTTTAATTTTCAAGTGATATGAGTTGACCCTTTGAAATTATGCAGTATGGACTCTCTGGTTTATTGAAAATCTGGCATTTTTGTCAATGATAAGCTTGACTTTATGAATTATTTTCCTCAGTAACTATGGAGCGTTTTCTATTAGACTAACAGGCATCTTTACTTGACTCAAGCCCACTTATGAATTTATACATCCACCTTTTAACAGTTGCATTAGTTATTCAATTGTTTAACATTTATTATAATAGCAGATTTTCCTAGTTTTGCTTAAGATTTTATGTCAGCCGGTAATTCAGCACTTTTCACTAAGCGTTTACCAGCCATATTTTACATGTTACTCGTGTATGGTATTTTAATGGGATTTAAGTTCAAAATCTGTTGACTACACACATGATTGTGCTCTGGGCCATAGCATAGTTTACACAAACACAATAATCACAAGCTAAATTAAAAAATACTTCATATTGCATTACATATTCATCCTCCCTCGTAGTGTCATATATCATAATTGCTTATACTATGATTACAGATAACCTAACCTAACTTAACCTTATTATGAACTACCTTTCATAGAAAGGTGAAAGATAAAACTATTAAATATGGCAAAAGTTGATTATCTATTTTCCAACCTTACATTTACCCAGAGGAGAATCTTCTTTAATGTTTTGAAAAGGATTCGGGAAACATCATTTATATTTAGTTTTTGTACCAACAATAATTTAGACATTGACGTCTACGTACCCATGAGAGGTTTGGCATTCTGCGAAATATATGCATATATAGATGGATAGATTCTTTCCTTAGCATGAGTCTTTAGCACATTCTTTCTAGTGACTAGTGACTTTAGCATTTATAAAAAAGAAAAATAGATGCTCTTATCTTTTGGCTTAAACTGTTTTTTCTTCGACTGTATTAAAATATTGACTGAAAGTGCATGCATCCTTTTAAAGATTTTAGCTATAAAGCTTCATAGAAAAACTCTTTCTTCTAAAAAAAAGTTAAATTTTTAATCCCCATCGCTGTCCAAGAGATATCTTAATACGTTATGTAATTTTGTTACGACGAGATAATTTGATTTTTAAATCCAATCACGCCACGTGCAATCAACTTTGTCATTTTTTTTCTACTGAGCAAATATATTTAAGTGATAAAATAAAATAAATCTATTTGTTTCTCCTATAGACATCGATGCTTATTATCCTTTGGCATGTTATGGATCTAGTAACTATAAAAACGCCAAATCAAACGAAAGTTAATAAATCAAACCTTGCTAATGATGACAAATATCGATCAGTGCTCTCTCAATTACATTCTATCTAAAGTTCACAATTTCAGCATTTCTTTGACAAATTTAAGATCTGAAATATATTTCATGAAAGAACAGTTAATGTTATGTATTGCTTCTGTTCTCTTGAAAGTATTGTGTCACATGTAAACATGTTGTAATTAGCTGTCTATTTATTAATGCAATTAAGCATATTGTAAAACTACTTCTCATGTGAAAAAGGCAATCAAATTTCTATTATTTGTATGTCAATAAATGCGTACAGTTTCCCGTAAAACGTTTGTATTTAAAAATATTTAAAGATAACTGCTTCTATTGTGTAACTATCATGAAAATATAATCTTCTACAATGACTGCTTCAGCAATCTGCATACTCTCAAAGATAAAAATCTAAATACGATTTTAATAAATCACGGAACATTCATTGATTTCTGAACAATAATTTGGAATGTTGTAATTAATAACATGCCCTAACAAGTTGTATGCCTAATACAGAAACTTTATATCGACTGAAATTTTTAGACGAAAAACAAACCGCAATTATAACAATAATTAAACTTCATCTTAAATAACAAGCAATTATATCGACCGGCAATAAAGAATACTTAATTAATATACTTTTTTGTTAGATCATTTAATTAAAATTTTAACGTAAGAACTACATCGTCAATAAATGTGGGCAGTATTCAGTTTCCAGTTTCCTCATTCTTCATGTTTCAAGATGATCAATCTTCCCATCCTTTTCATCTTGTTACTCAAGCCTAAGGAATCGAACAGAAATACCAAAGTTTGAACTTGCTTTCTTATTGACAGTTTTTGTTATCAAATCAATATAATAACAATTTTTTGTCATTTCATTTAGTTATCTCGCATAACTTAAAATTTTAATGTAGTTTGGTTATTTTTATATATGTCTGGCAATGTAAATTTAACTTTAACAAATTGAAATAACTTTTCGTTTTATGAAATACGGGATATCTCTGAATGCGTTCTTTAAATCTTGAATCGGTTGTCATCTGGACGACTATATTTTTTTGAATAATAACATTTTAGCGATGCACTTGACAGTGAATAACAATAGCATCCAACAAATGCACTATTGTGTGATCTCCTTCATCACAAGGGAGTAATGTATCAGTTAAAAGATCTATGTTTATGGGATATCATTCATATACATGACATCAATTTTATTTGCTCTGACTATATATATATTTTTTAAAGAATATCTTCCTTCAAAGATGATTCTTCCTATAACTGGCAAAGCAAAAAAATATACTTTTATCGTTTTTGGCCGTCATAATTGACAGGATTCACTTATTAGCTTAAGGTTATAAATCAAGTACCTTTTTTTAAATTTCTTTCCCTATCAATATTAGTACTATTTTTATCAGACCGCATTATCTATAATGGTACGTTTTTTTTGTGAATTGACTAAAATTCTCGAAACAAAGTGATCCCTCGGAAACATTAATCACAACAAAATAACATAAGAATTGCAGACTCGTTTGATTGAGTCTGTAACTGCTCAGTTAAGATTGGTTCTTTTCTACTTATTATCGCACCTGAACTTTAGAATAAGTTGATAACGTTGTCTAGGGAAAAATCACTACAAATGATGTCCAATTAAGGAGATAAATTACTATAAGCTCGTCATTTTGTTCGGTATGTACAATTAAAACTCACACATTTGACCGATTCAAACTTTATTTATTCTAAAGCGGGAAAGGAAATCTTCTGTAATCTACACACGGCTGTTAATTACCTAAATGATTTCGTCACAAGTATAATGAAGTCTCAATACCATACTTCTTCTTGATTTAATGTGTAAATTGAAGTTACTAGTTTTAATGTGTCACATAAATAAATATCATGAACTTTTATCATTACATGTTGGTATTGAATTGTATGTTTACCTATTGTGTTATTAAGTATAATAATATATAAGGGGCATGAACTGCATGAACGGGTCAATAAACCTGTAACATTTTCAATTAATTTTGCCTTTTTGGGCCTTCTTTTAAGAATCTACTTTCCTTAGTTTATTCTATCTTACTATGCTATACACTGCACTTCAGAAGGGCCATTGTTGTTCACATAAATTTTAAATGTCGCGATTTTTGTTGATAAAATAACTTGAAAAACAGCATTATTATACTTTGCATAATTTAAAAACAGTATTTTGGAGCATTGCGTGACAACACGTACAAATTCAAGTATTTTACGTTTAAATTTTGCAAGACAGTCACTTAGACTACTATGATATAATGTATTTGTATAAACAATTGTTTATTGTTTTTAAAAACATTACAAGATATAAATCAAAACGACAAATGTATTGTATAAAATTTAAGTTAACAAATGTTCCTTCAAATATATCGGTTACAAATGCATTTACAGTATGATTGCAGATTACATACTAGTATAATCAGGTCGAGCTGAACCTTCGGTCATTGGTCCACGGCTGTATTGTTTATGTTTTATAACGATACCTGTACAATGTAATCTAATTATTATCTGATACAGCTCCAATTATACCGACCATTGAATCACTACAATGATCCAAATTGAATGCGGTAAAGTATCTAATTCATCATTCGTCTTTGTAATGTTACTTAAACAATATTTAGATGAGAAAAAAAGCAATCTATCTTTTATAGCGACTCAACGCAATATACTGAAAATTATTTGGTGTTTTGTCGATACGATATATCGCGAATGACGGAACAAAAACATTAGCAGTAGCTAGCAGTGATTTTAGTTCTGGTTTTATCCCGCAATGGAACTGAGAACATTTAATCTGTAGACAAATGGATTAAACATGTGTATCTAGGGAACAGTTACTATAGAAAAGTGGATTAAATCTCTGAATATGTGATTTTATTTCTCTTCGTGCCGCATAAAGGGGCTTACATTTATCAAAACTGGATTAAACTGGTGCCCTGTTTTGACCTTTTGGAAACAATAAACTGATGTAAGGTAGGATCTGTCAACAATGAAAGCATTTACGAGCATATGTGCAAATAATTTGCATTCATATGCAGGATTATTACTCAATTGCAAATTTACTTTTCTAAATGAGTAATTTATTTCAAAATAAACATAAACTGGTATGCCTTGAAATTGAAATTAACATTAAATGCAGAACAACTAAAATAATAAATAACTAAATATAGCAAAATTATATTATTTATCTTTTATGTATATATTTCGAAAAACAATAGAATATTTATAGAGTTCACTTTATGTTTCACATGTAAACCACAGGCACGAGTATCGGACCTGGGAAGAAAAAATATGACCAGATTGATAAAAAAAAACCTGTGTTCATCTTAAAAGTGTAAAAAAAACCCAAAAAATTTAAATAATGACCCCCATTAAAAATATTCATAAACATTTCGGTACGTAAACATAGACTAATACATGTATGTCAGCTGAGTACGGGTCAAAATCACTTGAATTTACTAAATAATATTACTGAATACATTAAGTTGGACCACTCACAACCGTCAGTAGCATCTGATACACGCAAAATTCGAATTTCAAACCTTTTCACGTTCTTTACATTCCTTTCTACGCCATTGTCAATCAGCTGTTCGATATTTTGTAACGAGTCTTCTGATTGGCCAATAGCAACGAAAACCGCAACGTTTCACACAAGGATGCCTAATGGCGTAGAAAGCGATTGAAAGACCGTGAAAATGTTTGAAACTCGAATCTCGTGTGTATTAGATGCTCCTGACAATTGTGAGTGGTCCAACTTAATGTATTTAGTAATATTATTTAGTAAATTCAAGTGATTTTGACCCGTACTCAGCTGACATACATGTATTAGTCTATGTTTACGTACCGAATTGTTGTGCCGCAATTCTGTCTACCAAGGATTTTTAGCACGAATTCGCTCGTTTCCTGATAGATATTTCATGAACGGGATGGGCTAGAGACTTGGGATTGGTCTCATTTTGAAGCTTAATATAAACGTGAAATAGTGATAAAAATTTTTTATTTAATTCTCTGGCCAATTGTTTTCACAACGGCCCGGGAAATAATTCCCTTGCTCGTAGGCTCGAATCTGGAGTTTCCGGCCTTCTCTTAACTTATCGTATATTTTTAAAGGGGGTCATTATTTAAATTTTTTGGGTTTTTTTGACACTTTTAAGATGAACACAGGTTTTTTTTTTATCAATCTGGTCATATTTTTTCTTCCCAGGTCCGATACTCTTGTCTGTGATGTAAACATGTTTCCGAGCTATACAATACATTTTATATGTTCACTTGCTAAATTAAGCATTACAATTCAACCCAATAATTGAAACAGGTTGATGGATGGTGATAACGGGGAAAATACATAACAACAAAGGTGTTACTCGTCGATTTTAATTATTGTAAAAAGTAAATAATCTATATCAAACTTTTTTGATTTAAAACAATAATATTGAATTGTAAATATAATGGAAATAGGAAATGAATCTTATGTGACGTGTAGTTTAAAGTGACATTATGCTCATTTTATATTAAGTAGAATTGACTATATATGTCAAAGGATTTACTGTTTTAATGGTGATTGATCAATACTTGATATTGGAAAATGTTTGCGATAAAATATAAATATGCCTGAAATATAATATGATCGCCCCACTCTTTATAAATTAAACTGTATACGTATTTTCAGACACATGTTAATAGAAATATTCAAGGGTCACGTGAGTTATCTATTGCTCATGCGAAGTAAATTAAAATATTGGAAGGAATTATGGCAAAATGTGAACTTATTTTGACTTTCACCTGTTCACTCACTATATACTCTTAGATAGACATAGTGTCACTTAAAATGGAAATTTGAAAAATAACACGGAACATAACTATTATATCTAAAAACTGTTGTGCAATATAAATATGAGACTCTATTTTATTACGCCCCTCTTTGTTTTTCTTGTCTGAGGTATGACAAGAAATTATAGGTATAGTTATGCACAATTGTACCTTTGTGCCAATACAGGTTAATGTCTGCCAATAACCAGTCAAGATAAACAATTGTGACACAATTGCGACATCGCTATCGTAAACAATGCAATTTCATAGTACATGTCTATAAAATCATTTTAACTAAATACGAAGTACATGTGGGAAACACAAAATAATAAATAAATATTTTCATTTATAAGGTTATAATGAATAAGTTGTCATAATGACCTTCTCCTGTAAGCCATAGTTTTAGGTGATAATGTTTTGTACATTAAATGTCTGTCTGTCCGTCTGTTTGTCTCCTAAGAGTGTTAATAAAATTAATGTATAAGTGTTTACATGGCATTGTATTTAATATATGTATGGCAAAAGTATTACAAGTTCATAATGTAACTATATTGTATTGATTAATATTTTGTGTCAGGTTTATGATTATATTTCGGCAAACTTTAAATTAATGAACGTGTATCGCGCAATATAATCCACTTATATCTGACAATGTAGCCAAATTGTATCGGGCAGAAACATATATCGGGTGATTTATTTAATCAGATCTTCGGTAGATGTTTAGAAGCCGAGACCAACATAACATAATATTATGACATTGGTGTACGGATTTATAGATTTTATCATTAAAGCGGACAATTAATCGTTTTAACAAAAACAAAAACAAAACAAAAACAAAAACGGTGTGATTCATCTACGGAATAATTATCATTTTGATTAGTTTGATACTTGTAACTCTCTTTCATGTTTAGATTTTTGAAATTCAAATAAATAAAATCCATACAGAAACGATAATTGTAAGAAAATATCGGCTTAGTTCTCCACATGGTAATTACTTCATTGCAATCATATTTAGATTTAGATGTTAAATATTGTGTTACACGTACAAGTCAATCATACATTCCGAAATGTAGGGACTCATTTATTAACATGTTTTCAGATATTACGCTAGGAGAAACGTGAAAATGCTATTGGAGAGGAACAAAAGAACAGGCCTATAGGAAAGCAATTAACAATCTGTTGCAGTTGTATTTTGGATCACAATATTCATTCAATTGTTAAAGGAATATTTAGTAGAATTTAGATATGACATTAATGTGAGACGGATATTATGGAGTGCTCATTTACAGGAATTATTCGTACTGCCGTGGTATTCTGTATGTCGGGAAATATGCTGTCTCTGGCAAATCAACAAGTTGTTCCTGTTTATTGTTCTCAAACGGTGAGTTCTTCATTATACTGTATTCATATTTAGATAACATGTATCTAAATGGTACGTCCACGTAGATGTAAAATCTAACCTAATTACGATGAGTTCTTCATTATATTGTTTTTATATTTAGATAATATGTATTGAAATGCTACGTCCATGTAGATGTTAAATTTAACCTCATTACGGTGAGTTCTTCATAATATTGTATTCATATCTTAATAATATGTCTTAAATGCTAAGTATATGCAAGTAAGTCTTTTATCTAAGATAATTTAAAAAGCCGTACAAAGTGAATCAATTTACGGTTATCATTAAGTGTAAAGTTAGATATAAACATGTTTATTATATGATGGGGAGATTGATTTTGTGAACTCAAACACATTGTCTATAGATGTATAAGCATAATGGATAATTTACAAAAAAAGTATTTTAATCTTATTTAAAAGAATCACTGCAGACCCTTATGAATAAAGCTATGTAGTTATTATTTAAATGCAAAACGTTTGCATTGTAGAGGAAACCTTTAAAACCATATATATCATTTACTTGAAATTAGGAGTGTATTTTTATGACTCATAATTGTAGTAGACCTTCTCCTATTAAAAACGTTGTCTGAAATGATATTCCTAAATGCAGAAAGTTGAAACAATTCTTACAGATACTAAATATCTTAATATAAAGATACAAGGATACATTATTTCTCACTTAATTTAACTGTCGTCTGCAGTTAACATATTTCGATCCAGACGACATCTTATAGCGATGATTAGATTGGTCATTTTGAAGTCAAGAGCTGATGATGCCTCTCCAAATGCTCTGTAGCACTGTAAAATTACTTTAAATGTCATTTTTATGTAAGTGAAAATTGTCTTTCAGTGACAGAGATGACAAAATTTCCCTGTACAGTCATTTGAGCACAATTAACGGGATGCAGAATAGTAAAAATGTCCCTCATGTCCCGGCAGTCGATACCACTGGTATCAATGATGAATATATTTGCAGAATAACGGGAAAATCATTAACAGTGATTGTTTATTAATCATGTGGCATACGCTGGAAATAAATTGCTGTCTGAGCATTTCTGATTATCGTAACCTTTGATCTTCGACTTCTCTTAAATCGACACTTCTATAGGCATGTTATTGTCTGTTTTATCCTGAAGAAAGATTATTGACTGCTCAGCATAACCATTAGGTATAATAACTCAATGTGCGATATGTATTATCGAGAGTTTGTCACCGAAAGTTCTCTTTACATGATATGCATTATTAAATGTGACATCACTGTTATTTTCTAGACTGTTAGTAAGCAAGGGTTCTTTGCCAACGATATCATACCTTCATCTATTAATGGTAAGTATAGTATGTAAATCACCCCTAAAAATAGTATTCGTTAAATCGTTAAAAGATGAAAAAGGATACCTGATATAATTGTTTAAATTGATTTATATGTCACTTTTGACTATTTAAGATTCGTTACCTTGATTCTAATAATGCTTGTTTTCTAGCCATTTCAAGGTAAATTTATACCAGCACACATAATGAATAGTGTTCACTGTAAGAATTTGAGATGCATCAGAAGATATTGATTGGGTAACATTTGGCGAACATATCTTTTTTTGTATAAACTAGAACTAACAGATGCTGATGACGTTACAAAGAGCAAAAACATGATTTATCGTATATGTGAATACAAATATAATTTATACATATATAGAGTTCTGAATATTAAGACATGACAACTTATGTCCATTTGAATGTATGAAACTTCGTTCCTTGTTCCTTATTTTGCCCCCACCCTGTTTAATCCATTCCCCTGCGGTGTCCCACTCTGGGTCATGCACAGATCTCCACGTGACCCTAATTTGTCTAACTCGAACTAATAGTTTACTAGATAATAATAGAAATTTCACAACATATTTGTAAACAAAATGAAGTACATGTTGATGTTAGTTGTTAAATCTTCTATTATTTTAAAAAAAGATAGGGTTACTGCCCCTTGATAAATCTTATTGTCATATATTATTATAAGGTATTTATGTTGTATTTAAACGTGTTCAACACGTTTGGAATAAAAAATATACCAATTAATTAAGTTATGTATGGAAAAATCTATCTTGTTATTAATTCTTATTCATCTTTGACATATATTTAGTAACTTTGTGTTAATCCCAAGCAATAGCTCTGATAAAGGTAGACACACTTGTAACACTGCAATTTGTTTGGTGTTATTCAAGAAATATACGTGGGAATCTTATAGAGCCGAGACAAATCCCTTGTACAAACGCTTATGTATTATTCATGAAGTCATTCCGGATGTGTCACTTGCAACACAAATGATGCACTACAAAACATGAACTTTAGATTATTTGCTACTGTAACAGTTTCTATTAATTAGGAAGTTTTATTTATTATTAGTCCTGCATTAGGCATGACAAAAAAAATATCTTTTCCTACGATAGATATAACTTTTCATGATAATAGTAACATTCCAAGAAAAAAGAAAACTTGTGGTCGTCGTGCTTTTTTTCAATTTATTAATTTTTGATTTTTTTTTTTTTATTATTATGTTTTTGGCGGGGCAAAGTTGGGAGGAGGAGGATTTTTGCGTTGAACTTCAGTTGTTTGGCTTATTTTAAGAAAATTCGTTTTGTAGATATTTGAGGACTTGTTTAAACGCTCGTTTTTAATGGAAATGGCATGCAGTTATAAGTTTTGGTCAAGAAGTAAAAGTCTACAAACTGTTGTATACTATTTTTGAAGGTTTTCCGAATTATTACAAATAAAGCCTGCTACATAATAATAAAACATTTTTAATAAAGACAATTGCGACATTGCATACTATGAGATTAACCAAGTTAAAGGACAGATTACAAAACAACTAAGTATGTGAATCCCATTTCTTGATTTCATTTATTTTAATTTTGTTTTCCTTTTTTATCATGCTTCGAATGCCCGCTATTGGGATAAATCATATGAAACAATTATCATTCTATATATAAAAAAACTATAGCGAACGTCCTAACCGTGTGATAATTAAAGTATTTATAATAAAGTATTTAAATCCCAAGAATGATATAAATCAAGTAAATTAAAAGTAATGATGTAGTCTAAGTATATTTATTGCCTCTCTAAGCTGGCACAACTTTTCAGACGATAAGCTTGGCTTTTGAACTCATGTTATTGTTCTGTGATAAGGATGCATAGTTTGCCAAGAATGATTGTAGTTTTTGGCTCATATTTATAAGATGAAAGATGCAAAACCAAACGAGGATGAACATTTGTTTGAAAGCACCTAGTTAACATTGGGAGAGATCATTACTTCATATTAATAATAACATTATGATCTTGTTAAGTAAACATATACATGGAACTGCAGTAACAGTACATTCACTCAAAAGAAATTTCAAGAATTAAAAAAAAATCAACGTTTGTTGGTTGTCACCAATAATTACTACACATATCTCATGTTAACTTTTGCAGATATTAGATCTCAATTCATTGTATCTGAATGCAGCGTTAAGGTTTTACTCTGCATGCCTTCAGCTAAGCCAAACTATTCAAAATAAATCAAATTTAAGTTAAATAGACTACGATTTTTAGAGAAAAAACACATTCTGTAATTCAAGATTCAAGTAATAATTTCTATGTTATTTGAGATTAATGATTGATTTTGCAGTATTTATCACCACATTTTTATTGTGTTACTAACGCCGTTAGGGCTATTTTTCATATTTTGACCTCCTTTTGTTAATTTATGTAGATTGTAAGCACCGTTTGCAATGTGTTAATTACTTTCTTTGTTCACTTCACAATATGTCACTTTTCATATATTTTCAAAAATTTTATGAAAATAAGCATAAATGTGGAGGCATGCCACTTATCATAATTCTTTATTACTATTTCTCTCCAGATTCTGTATTCAACGAGCCTCCGACAAATACACGTGATATGGGTGTTGAGTTATGCCCAAACAATAAAACACTGAAGTTAAGCTGGAAAATGAATAAAATAAAAGGTTAGAGTTCTATCACTTTCATAGTGTGGTAATAGTTATAGTGAACGACTTGGCGTGTTTGGTAAAAGAAAAAAATTATATTGAAGACATTGCTTCTGATGGATATAGAGTCTGCTTGATTTTCTCTTTGATTGGAGTAATAGTATTTGTTTAATCTAGGACGTCAATAATGGATTTACATGCTTCGTAATGGATATGTTATTTAGCCCCAAATGACTGAAAGAAATGATACCGAAAATGAATTGCTTTTTTTCAAAGGCGTCCATCATCTTTAGGTAAATATTCAAAGTATGCAATAACTGAATTGCAAACAATTCATTCGATTATCAGACGCACATTTTGTTTTTAATGTAAAGTCTTTTTGTGAATATTTGCAAAAGTTTGAAATAGAAGTGTACTTTATGCAATTGGATCCGACTATTAACTACTGACTTTCTTTTATAGCTTGCGTGTTTAAAAAGATAAGCATTCTTATCACAAATGCGCAAGCGTATTAAATTGTCGTCTGTATTGTGATAATTTATCTCTTTGTACTCTAAGGTCATGTAGTTCCATCAACTTCAGATAATTTAAACGCATTTGTTTGTTTTGCCAATTTAACTATCACAATTGTATTGATCGGAGTAAATTGAATTCAATTTTCAAGTGCAAATTTAGCGTGCAATTCGTTTTATGCAATTTTATTATTTCCTGCAGGCATTGAGATCAAGCTTTGCTACAAGATAAGGTCTGCTTTAAATGGAGAAGTACATTATTCCAGCTGTGTCAGTCTGAAAATAAACTATCCGAGACGTCGGTCTTATATGGTGAGCTTTTGTTGCTTATTATTGAACGTACATATGAAAAGTGTACTAAATAAAGGTTTTATGCAAGCATCTATCAATTTAATATTTCCTATCTTTTCTTTAAAAAATTAAGAAAATAAAATAACATAAATATAAATAATAAAAATGTCATGTGAAGAATGTAAAACAAATGAAAAGAATTGTCTTATAAAAGGTGTCGAAATATACGAAATTTGATCTTACCTAACATTTGACCATGAAATGATTATGGAATGTGACTTATATTTAATATATTTGATTGATTGTGTTGTGTATGGCGATGTATTTTGTACAAGTCTAAAATAATGTTTCGATTCAGTTATGTTCTTACCCAAATTATAAATGGGTTAAAAATTGAATATCTTGCATATATTAAAAATCGTCACATGAAATAGGTCTGCTATTGCAATTATTAAATTGTGTTGTTCTTTTTTATTTCGTATGTTCTTGTAGTGTTTTCTCTATTTCTTACAATCATTCAGTTTCAATAGCTTACAATAGAAACGTTCAGTAATTTGTATTTATAATGTGATGTTCTTTTCTTTTGAATTAAAGAAATGAAATTAACACTTTTATATGACATTTATTTTTACAAACATCTAAAAGCACATTATGTCTAAGAAACGAAAAAAAACTTTTGTAAAAAGGGCAAATATAAGTTTTATAATGTTTAGATCATTATTTAAGAACATCTTAGATGCATTGCTCCTGAACAAAGTAGTGTTAAATGTGAAAATTTATTGTCAAAAAAGTTGCAGAATGTATACAAAGTAGTACTTTGATTCCATACACAATACTTAATCACTATAAAAGAACTTATTGTAAAAACAAAAACCAAAACAATACAAAATATGGCTTAGGTAATCTAGACAATGAGTAACATTTTGAAAAACATAACCGTACATGAAAAATAAAATTGCTTTTGAAAAATAAAAATTAAAGCATTTCTTAGGCATAATGGGTCTTTTAATAAAGATGAATTTATTTAAAACTTGATAAATTGTAAAATTACCATGATTTGTTCATTCGACATTTAAGAAAATACACGTATTCATGCAAAACCTTTATATCAAGAACTTCCTACTTTTTCTACTAAACTTTATCCGACCTAACTTTCTGTGCTACTCATAATTGTTTTGACAAAATGTTGCATTCATTCACCGTGGAAACATGGTAGGTTTTGAAATGAGAATGTAACGTCTCGTGAACTCATAAACTAGAGGCTGATTATGTGATTTGTTTTAGCAGGCACAGTAAATATTGAAATATTAGTAAGATATTGAAACAACATTGTATCTATCTTTGTGTATCTAGGCTACCGGTCCCATATAATTAATAAAAATGTAATAGATTTAAAGCACGGCAATCGAAATTTCTACTAGAATGGTACCTGTTTAATGAATTTAATTAATGTTTATGAAGGTTTTATGTTTTAAAAGAATATTGCTTGACGATTAAAGGTTTTAGCAAAGTCTTGCTTTAGTTATAAATATATATATTTAGAAATTGTAGTCCAAAATTACTTGTTCGATGCCACATTTTAAAGACTTCAACTTAGAGTGTAAAGGGTATCATTACTTTTAACATTTTTATTATATACAGACATGTTGGTTTCCCATGAAGTACATATCATACAGGCCTATCATCACTGCTCTGGCAACATCAACTCGGGGGAATACAACAGTGGATTATTACGGTGAATTAAACACAAACCAGCTGGGTATGTTCACATTTTGCTGCCAAATTTTAAAGTTAACATAGATGTACATTATTGTTAAAATATTTCGGAAACGCGACCATAATGTATGGCCCTTTCACTATTAAAGCGGTGCTTGAGAGCGTCGGTGATAGCGTACCCTTAAACACTACTGTTTGTCAAACCAAATCTGCATTAAAATCATTTCTATGTTAAAGACGACCTTTAAGATTTACTTTGTAATATTAAACTTAAAGCTTTTTTAATTATTTGAACTCTCTTATTTCTTTATAGTGTCTTCTAACTCTTAAAACATGTAATGTCTAATTATAGTCCAATAACTGCAAATATTCAGACAAAAAGCGGTGTTTATAAGTGTTAATGGCGTACGAAATTGTTATCTTTTAGTGTTCTATTGTAGAAAAATTTTGAAATTATAGTTTTAACTGAGATTTGTATGTTGTTTTTTTTTACTTGAGGCATCAGTTAAATGCAATCTCCTGTAGTTAATCTGTTAAAATATGTTTTTTAAGGATAATATTAAATATATGTTTTGAAGCTTCAAGTCCTGAAGGTGACCCCTTTTACTACCTCTGTCACGTGACTAATTAGTAGTCGAAGGTTCAATCTTGCAAAAATCGAGAAAATCAAAATGTGAAAATTACTTAAGAAACATTATCATGTAACACATGGCAACATATTTTCTTGCCAAATAACATGTATATTTGAGGTCTGTATGTATAGTTATAATATATAGATAATCATTGCCTTAATGTGGTTTCAATGTTTTAATCAGGTTTTAAAATGTATCATTGATAAATGACAAATATAAACCATTTTCCTTGTACGTGAAATGTGTGATATTGGATGCTGTTGAATTTCGTCTTGGTGTTTCATATTTAATTGCGCTTCAGGGATATGTTTAATCTAATAATACTAACAAGGGAAAGGAAAGATTTATGTAATGAAATAAACACTAAAGATATATATGAAGATAACTTTGCAACAGAAACCTCAAATACATCTCTGTTGTAAAAAGACTGAAATAATATTTCCAAACCACCACTTAATACTTGTGTAATACATGTTATACAAATCTGCTGTTAGGTATCGAACATAAATTTTTTTGTATTATTTTGTCATGGTTGCAGAACGAAAGAAATATTTTCTTAGAAACTACAGAAAATATGTCTCTTTTGATGAAAATGTAAATTGCAATAAAACCACACAATTTCTTAGAATTTATATTACTGTCGACAAGACACAAGCTTTCAGTGAAATGCATAAATACATAAACAGGAAATTACATGTCTAAGAAATTATTCTAGCAAGTTGTTTTATATAAGATGATATGGCATTTATGACATCTATGGTATTTACAGATCCAACAAACAGTTGTAAAGATGTATGTGAGATGACGGTCGTGACTATAAAGGCCCCGGTGTCATGCAATGACGAATCATCCATCTATTATGATGGCAGAATTACAATGAAGGCATTGTCCTTCGAAGCGGATAATTCAACTGAATGCAACATTCCATCCGTTCATATTATTGGCCAGGTTTGTTTGAAAATGCTTCAAATTTCTATAGTTCTTCTTTATGCCACAGAAATATCATCAAATACAAACAGACACTCTCTTAATACGTTTGTTACAGATCTATGTATTTCTGCCATCTGTAAACTTTCCAAAAGCCAGACTTTTGCTTATTAGTATGCATATGTTAAACTTGGATTGTAACAAGCATTACTGTGTAAGGATTAATGTCAGTCAGTTCTAATTTGGTATGTATGTATATTTGTGTCGCTTGTATGTACAATATCAAAAAAGTAAGTGATTTCTCTCTACGATTACTAGCATTTTGCTAACAAGCAGAAAAATTAGTTTGTTTTTATTCATATCTTAGATGAAAAAAAATGAAGATCTTAACCGTTATCTCTTGCAGACAACATAGCTGTTGTATTACCTCTTTATTTCATTTTACTTTACATTCTTTCCTTGTTTCTTTTGTTCTTGTAGTCATAGATTAGCTGTTTCCTTTCCTGTATTAAATACCAATAAATTGGACCACTCATTTAATTAATTTATGTAAACAATTCATGTGTTCTTTATTTCAGACATCTACCCAGCTAGATTACATCTTAAATTGTACCGAGGCCGGAGCTGGTCATGTAAAGGTATAAATATTTACACCACTATTTATGAAATGGACCTGACAAATGTTTTAACTTTTATCTATAAGTTTTCAGCTTCACTCTCCGAAAACAAAAGTTTAGTTTTTGTCATGACTCTCTCGTCGTCGTTGGATTTGGCGTCGGCATATTCTCTGGTTCACGTTTTCGTTGAGGTCTATTTTCATAGAAAACTATACAAGTGGTATACATGTCTATCATCATACAACGACGCCATTTTAAAAGTGCAAAATCCAAAGATATTTTACTGATGCAAAGTTATGTTTGTTAAAGTCCATTGTCCCAGAAACTGTCTATGTTATGGACTTCAAACATAAAACAAACGTTTTGTAGCAAAATATCACACCAGTGCAGAAGGAAAAAATATTTGAATAAATAGTTTTGCCACTTTTCAACATTTTTCTGCAAAGGTCAATTTATCAAATACTGTCAAAGTTAAACACTACGAACTGAAAATACTTATCTTTTTTAGAATAGGAATTACTAATAAATGGCAAGCTCAGTTACGCGTCCCTCTTTCCTTCAAATTCCTTTGATAACCTTTTTGACAAGCACATTTATTAATATTCTCTTTAAACATAGAGAACTTTTTAAAACTTGAAATGCGTTTAAAAGGAGAAAGTATTACTGAAAGCCATTATGCCTAAACATTTCCTTTTTTTATTGAACATATTTGCTTTTATTAAGTACATTTGTAGAATTATATTTCTTTTTCTATGTTGCTATTATCTCACTTTCCATTACTGAGAAAAGTAATGTGGACAAGTTTTGTTAAGGCACCTACTTATACATGTACTTAGTTATAAAGAAGCCGGCAAAAGTGTAGACATTTCTAAAATATGATTACATGCTTTGACCTAGTTTCTGTGCAGCAAATGAATAACTTGAAACATAGACATTAAGGCACATCAGAAATCCATATCTTAATCTTTTGAAATGTCAAATATGTGTTTAAAAAATATTTTGATAATGGACTTAGGGCCCATTAGATGTTCCACAACTGAAAAAAGAACATGCAGTAATAAGTCATAAAGGTAGCAAACTATAAAGAAACCAGTATTTCGACCATACAAAACGCTAATCCGTTATATTTTTCACATATTACCAAAGCAGCAAAGGAAGCAAAACGTAGTTCATCTATATTACAAATTAGTATTCTTGAAGAAACTGTAACAAAATTCAAAAATGAAAGATTTTTGAGAAATAAAAATGATAGCATTTCTGAGGCATAATGGGCCATTAAGTTTATAATTACCAATAATAAAATAGTCATAATTTTTTAATAAATTGTTTCCTTATTTTTTTTCTTAAAAACGATATAAATATGTACTATTTAAGGCTGTAATCATTTACAATTTTGCTTTATTTACAGGTGTTTTACAGCATTCGTGGCCGTTATTGCTTCAAATACCAGCCTGTAAGAATATATTGTGGTAAGTCTTTCCTTTAAAATAGAGATTTCCATTAGAAAAATGGTCGCTTCAAAAGCCACAAAGTCTGCACTGACACATAAAACATAAGCACTTTCTTTTTAATTCATGTATCCAATATTAACGGGATAATACATGACCAAGATTCAAGATTGAAAATGTTTATTGGCAAAATAAAAAAATATTTATTAAAGACTGTACATAAACATAATGATGATGTAAAAAATTATATATTATCTTTTAACAGATTAATTTACCAATTTTTATCTCCAGTTTCTATTTAAAGTACAAAAACACTAGAAAAATACATATAAAACAAACATGAAACGAATACATAAAAGAATAAACAGTCATCGTGGTAACTGGTGAAGGGTAAAATGATTTGGTGTTATTTGGTTATTTCAATTCACAACAATAATAGATAATAGATCATTCTTTAAAGTTAAATCGAATCCACATTTAAAAACATTCTTTGACAACGAAGAATGACAACAATTTAAGAACTAGTGTTTTGATGTTGTAAATAGACAAGACAGACCTTCACCAAATTTAATACCTGCCGGCGCTTCACTCAAAATGACTGATGTTCATTCTACATTTCAGAGATTATAGTCTTAACAAACATTTACAAAAATAAATCTTCAACAGAAAACGTGAAGAGCATATAAGTACATTGCAATTCTTGGTAAGATTCATTAAAGTTTGAAAAACGGGGCCGGGGACCGAACTTGCGTTAAAATAATTTGTAGACTGTCAGTATTGCCCATCTTACATTTTAATCTAAAAAAAACGATATTATTGGCATGAAAGGCATGAAATCGCATCATACTTAAATAGCCAGATAAAAAAAGCTTTTCTCTTTCTTTTAGACCCACCGTCATCATATTCATCAACTATTGACCCTGGTGTGGACGATTTCCCGACTTTTGTGATATTTGGAGTAGTCTGCACGATTGTAATGACTTTCATATTGATTGCCATAAATTTTGGTAAATATTGATATGATTTATTTTCTTTATTCAAATGAATGCCATTGGAAAAAATAATTAAAACATCGTTGATTGGCAAATGTATTAATAGGTACCATTTTAAAGAGTGATCGTTTATAATTTATATTCAGCCATGCGTTTGGATTCTTGTTGTAGCGTTAAATAGTCATGTAAGTTATAAACATTAAACTACAAAATACATGAACAATTTTATAGTGATAGAATATAATAAATATTAATAGTTAAAAACAAAACTAAACCATGAAATGCCCGAACGCAAATATTACTCTATATGAATCGAGTTTTCTTCCTGGTTCTATTCTAACGTTTATATATTGTTGTTCTTTTTATTTTCAGTTTTTCAAAGACTAAAAATCGTTCTGCAAAATCGTAGACGTACAAATGGTAATGCTATATATAAAAATAATTAAGATACAAATTCTTCATTATTATACAGAGTTGTGTCATGTTAATCAAAAGTAAAGTTTTAAAATTGTAACTTATAATATTTTATTTTCACTGTATTTACCTAGTCTAAAAAGTTTATCAATACCATTTTTAATTCAAAAATATATGGGTAGAAGAAAATGGTTATAAGGTGTACAGAATTCTCAATGTGTCTAAATACATTCTTACGTCCAGATTCAATTATTCGGAAGGATAAGCAAAAAAAGCCTAATATACATCTCGACAAAACTATTTTCACTATTTCAGTAAAAATTCGTGCTTGAAATCTAGATTTAATCTTGATCTTTTATGTTCCATATGACATTAATAGCAAATATGTTAAATTTCAGGGCATCTTCCAACAAGACATGGCATGGAAAGCGTACCATTGCAGTCGAATAATACAAAGCCTCGAGAAGGTGCTTTATTGTTTTTACTTGTGTGTTTTGCACGCTTTGTTCATTTTTGAATTAGATAATCTTATTGAAGAAGCTAATTAAATTAGTAAGGTAAAACTTACTGAATTTATCTAATTCTACTAATAGAATGCACGAAATATGTATAAGAAGCTGATTTCGATATTATATGTAATGATGTATTAGTCTTACCAATATGCGTCAAAATTGAGCTTCCTGGGCAAAAAGTTTCTCTCAGACAAGTAACAAACATGATTTCAAATGACAAGCATTTTCTTGTCTAAAAGAATATAAATTCATAATTCAAATCTTCTCGAGAAGTATAATCGGTTTTTATTTCCTGTTCTTAGAGACAATTTTTCATTTTAATGGTTAATAGTGCTTTGAATAAAGTTGAGTCTGTTGGCATTGTTATATTCTTTTTGTCTTTTTGTTCCTTATTTTCAGAGAGTGTTGGCTCGTCTTCTAGTATTGTTGATCTGACTACACAAGTACAAAAAGCAATGAAGCGTGAATATATAAAACGTGTGAACTCGGTCTCATCTGATGATCAAAGTCAACAATCTGCTAACTCCTCCTCCTTCCGCAGACATAATGTCAGAAAACTCCACAGATGTATGACTATAGCACTCTTAGAACGGACAGAATCCTTTTACAGGAAGAAAATTTTATTCCTACCGTCTCCATTTGACACATTTAGTCGAGACGCCACGAGCCTACTGAAGGCTGTTTTCACATTAGAGTTGAGCATTCCAACGCATTGTTGTTTCGACCGCGACGTGTATCAAAAGTATATGACTGTACATAAACACAATTGGATAGAGTCCATTCTTCGAGATCATGATCGTATTGTGATATTTCTTTGCTTTACAACAATTCATGGCGAAGCAAAAGGTAGGCCTATTGTGGAAGATGTGTTGGAACATTTACTTATATCAAAGCCTAGGCCACATTGTAAAGTGGCGTTTCTACATCTAACTGATAGCTCTGAAAATTTTGAAAAGAACCATCATGGGGATAGTTTTCATGTTATGGATAAAGTCTCGTACGAAGCGTTTATATCAGAAATGTTGAATTATTGTGGAAGAAATCCAGACTCAGAACCTGAGCTAGTGTATAGATTAACAAATTGTGAAACTTCAAGACATTTTCTGCGTTTCATTGGAATAAAAAGCATTCTTTGATGATGTGAAGCTATGCTAATACCAATACAGGATTATTGGTGAAAACACAGTGAAAACAAAGTGAAATCCTGAGATCATAATTTATTTCAAAGTCAAAAAGATGAATATCTATTTGGGTTTTTGTTTCTTAAAAAATATATTAAAATTTCAATTTTGTTTTGAAAAAGGCTTTAATGTCCCAAAACAAAGGACACGAATCAAAATATGTTAAAGCTGCACGCCTCCAGATGAGCCAAAATATTTCAAGAAATTCAATCTTTAGAAAAATGTATTAAGATCTTAAGAAAGGTTAAAAAAATTCAATAGTTAATTAATTATTGGCATGTTATTTGCGATGAATGGCTGATTTTGCAGTATCAAACACTATAATTCTACTGCGTTACTAACACAGTAAGAGATATTTATGTATATTTTAACATCTTTTTGGTAATTTACGTGGATTGTAAGTGTTGTTAGCAATGTGTTAATAACTTTCTTTGTTCACTTAACAGTATTTTACTTTTAAATACATTTTCAAAATTTTCATGAAAATTAGCATGAATCTGGAGGCATGCTGCTTATTATCTTTATAACAAATGCCACTGACTATAATAAAGTATAATAAAGTAGATATCTACGCAACTTTTGAATGTGTTTAAACGTTTATATGTCTTTAAATGGTAAACACGGCTTGCTAAGCAGTCACTACGTGAACGTTAATCAACCAATCAGAACGGCGCTTTTATAGGTTATGAACTTTATATCATATTGTGATATATTTATATAGTCTCTTTGTAATTTAAAATAACTAACATATAATATAAGTTACATGTATTGTTAATATAAAATAAAGAAAAAGTCAATGTTATATATATTTCTTTTTTTTTATTTGAATGTTGAAATATTATATCGCTTTGAAATATCTATCATCGGTATCTATTCTTTTTTAACTCCTCTGTGACCAGAAAGCCTAAATATAGCATTTAAAACTTTTACATCGTTCAAGCACTTGAAATGTAAAAAAAATTCTGCAAAGGATAATAGAGAAATTTTTATTCATAATTTAATTTAAAGTCGATAGTTAGACTAAATGCAATTCTAAGCTTTGCAACGCAATCATTCTGTTGATTTGAAACAACAAGCACCGATATAAATGAGCCGCGCCATTACAAAACCAACATAATAACATGGTTTGCGGCCAGCATAGATCCAGACCAGCCTGCGCGTCCGCGCAGTCTCATCAGGATCTATGCTGTTCGCTTACAAACCCTATAACAAGTAGAGAAACTAATAGCGAACAGCATGGATCCTGATCAGACTGCGCGAATGCACAGGCTGGTCTGGATCCATGCTGTTCGCAAACGCATTATGTTGGTTTTGTCATGGTGCGGCTCATATCATTTGTTGATTTCAAACAACAAGCATAGACATATATTATTTCGTTGTCTTGGAACAGCAGGAATCGACGTACTTCATATTCAGGTTAACTACAGCCGATCAGTGCTTACTTGTTTATTGACGAAAACTATTATCTTGTAAATAACATCCAGCGAACAAATATAACCGTTAGGTTCTCTTAAAGATATAATAAAGTATCTCGTGCGCACGAGATAAATAAAAGCACACACATGTCACCTCTGTGTCACCGTAGTTGCATATATTTTTCATAAAGTTTTATTTTTGTTATGAAGACAAGTTAAATACAGATGATAAAATTGATGATAATAAAAAGTTATAAATTTTTGCATTTTGCTCCTTTTTGTTCCAATCTGCCATGAAATGGAAAGTAAGTTCCTTTTACACGTAAAATAGTAAAGGCTTCAAGCTGATTTTGCTTCTACACATTGTCCTGTTTGTTTATGGTATTGTATATACTCAGAGGTGTTCTTTTCGATTCTAAAGGTCTTCTGGTGAAGCTTTATTAACCTAGGTTCCATGTATCATTCCTTTACATGCAAAAGAGCAAGGGTCGCCCATGGAACAGGGCATTTACTTCATCATTCACACATCCACAAAACCCCCAGAACAAATAACTCTTCGTGAGGCGTCGAGGAAATAGGCAATTAAAATGCAACAGTAAATAAACCAAAAGAAAAAAAATGTCTTCATGCCAAATGTTTCCGATTTGTCTCAAGCATTGTTGATTTTATCAAATTTGCATGATTCCGACTTTCTGTTAAATGGATTTGAAGCTAAGATTTGGTGTCTAATAAATTTTCATTAGCTCTAAGATTTCTGTCATTTTTGTAACAAGATTTCTGTGGATTTTCAGATATAACATAAGATAAATGTCATACAAAGTTGTATTAAAGACACATTTTCTCACGGCACTGATTTATTAAAAGTGCAATAGCAGCGCAAAATGACAGCTTGTTATTAGAATTTTAAACAAGTTCTCTTGCAGAAATAACAGTAAATCTACATATTTGAAGACAACGGAAGTATACAAAATATAGTGCACAAAATCCACCAAATGAAATTAAGATTGCGAGGATGGTTATAATTGTTTATGACACAATCTAAATCACTTGAAATTTAAACGTATAAAGTGTTTAACAACACTTTAGTTTTGCTTGTTTCAAGTACATTTGAAAAAAAAGATATTGTAAAATAATAGTTCATTGTGTTAATTTTCATTTCATAGATAATCATTAGTTCCTATTGGTCCCACACCATTACAATAATAATTATGAAACTGGTCTTATTATAATAATTTTTTCACTCCGTGTCTAAAAGTACCTGCTAATACCCTGAAGTCTTTTTTTTTCTTTTTTTACTTACGGTTATTTTAAGTTACATTACAAGTATCGGTCAAAACAAATATTGAGCATTTCTGAATGCCTCGAGATTGGTTCTTTTTTTTTTGTAACAAATAAAAACGTCTGATCCATAAAACATTGTATGGCGAAAGAAAAAGTATGTTCAGGTATGTTTTACGGCTATATACTTTTTCAAACCAGTGACGCAATTATTTTCATAAACATGTTTCTGTTATAAAAAACATCTATAAAAATCCAAAAATACAAACAGACATTGATAACGCAACACCAATACAACAATGGGTACCAAGCTCGGCACACGGGAGAGTTTAACATCAATACAACAATAGTTACCAAATTTAAAACACTAGTAACTTACTCGTTTTTCTGTCAGTAAAATGACAAAAACAAGGTAACTATTAAAGATTTAACCCTCAAAGGGTAATTGGGGCAAAACATTATTTAATTTAATATGACGATAACAAAATACATTATTTCGATATATCGTTACCTTAATGAAGTAACCGGTTCACTTCTATTGAATCATATAAGAAGTTAACCCATTACTGCACAAAGGTAACGATGTATCAACTTAAAATTGTTTCGAAACCATTTTGCATGTTCTATATATTTTAAACAATAACTGTTTGCTTCATTTATAAACTACCTCTCCCAAAGCATTTAATATAAATGAAGGTCAAGTTTTTTTTATTATTTATTTAATTCATCCATGCAGATTTAAACAGCCTTTAAATACTTTGATATTGATTGTATACAGCGGTTATTACAATGGTAAGGTATTGGATGTCGTCTGCAATTGTAATACATTCAGATGTTGAATACTGATAATAAACTGTATTATTCCTATCTTTTCAAACACAATGATACATCTGAAGACATTGCGCCTCCAAGCTGTTCCATTTGATAAAAATTTTTTTTGTCTTTTTTTAAGTCTTTTGTGTATCAGTGGTTATCAAAATAAGACTTAAACTATTTGACAATTGTGTTGTTAATTTCTTAAATAGTATTTTGTGCTTTGTTACAAATGTCTGCACATCGTATAAAGTCGATTAAATAAAGTAATAAATATGTATCGTTTATTTCGAACATACATGTATATTTTAATATTGTTTTACGCAAAATTGTCTTAGTTTTAGATGTCAAAGAAGTGCCGTGTATTCATTGTTAACTTGGATTTAGTGTCAATATGATATCGTGATATATTTATAGATAAAACGCATTACATGAATGACCTACGTGTAGGAAATCGTGACAAGAAACAATGATTTGATCTGCAACATTGTTCTGAAACTAACCGAAGTCTTAAGATTTTGTGTAAAAAGAAAACGACTATTCTATTAATTTGTGAAAATCTAAAACAGTAGTTATACGAACGAAAGAACTGGCATAATGCATGGCAACTTATCAAACCGAATGGAATAATATGACATTAAGATATTTTTATGTGTGATGTATACCGAAAATTGGACTTTACAAGCACAGGTACTGGGTTCATGTGCTGTGAAAGTAAACATACTTGGTAAAGAAACAAAAATACTCTGCAGGTGGACTTCAACATGAAACTGAAATATTTTTAGAAAAAAATACTTCAGCATGGTACAATGAAACTACATCTTAAATGAATGTAAAGATATTATTTGATTATGATCTAGGAAATCAGTCTTGTTAGACGCACAATATGGTTATACCCAGTTTCTACCGAAATTACTGACATTTAATTAGCAGTGCGTTTAAGATTGCGTGATTTGCATATCAAGATATGCAATGATAACATAGAAGAATGGACAGCTGCATTAGGAAACATAATTTACTTAATTGCAATATTGCAATAAATAATAGAAAATATTGATATTCTTTATATTGTCAGACGGATTACGAGATTGTTTTCCTGCAGGATCAGTGCAGCAAATAATGCTCGTTTCAAAGTGGCATTGCGTTGTAAATTATTTATTACGTGCCGAGTTGTTATTTTGCCTGATGCGGGGAATTATGCCTGCGTCGCCGGAAGTAGGTCTTCAACCACATTGTATACAAATGGTAAGTTATGTTATGAGAGTTTTATTTATAATACATTGAATGGGTCAAAAATTGATAACTTATAGATTGTTCACCGGCCATAAATCAGTTATATCGACATACTGTTTAAAAAAAGCAAATCAACAAAATTTGTTGGTCGAACATTTGTATGAATTCAAACACCTCAAAAACAAGTGCAGACAAAAATAACATTTGAAAATAAGAACAATGTCATTCGGTGATGCAAAAGGACAATATTTGATTCCATTAACTATTCAGAAAGTCTATGACACGAACCGAATTTTTGGTGAATTTGGTTTCCATGATGATCCTATGTTAATCTATGGGAATGGCATAAATGAAAGAATTCCTAATCCTTGCCCTGTCGGAACCGAAAGTGATCAATAGCCTTTGCCACCAGTATACAGTAAGAGCAGTATGCATGATTGTTTTCTTCTTTATTCTTAATTATTATTTTTTTTATCTTATTTCTAATTGCACTTAAATATTCTTTCTTTTATCATTTTATCATGTATGAATGAAGATTTTATTACGAATTTGTTAAAAGAAGCAATAATGTGCGGTTTACAGATCATATGCTCATACATGCTTTAAACATGAGTCACGTCATCCGCCGTACCTAAAAAATTAATTGAATTGGCATATCCATGCGGGCTGTCGATTTCTTTGTTATCAATTTTTAAAACACATCGCAATCATTTGTAAGAACGATAATCATAGACAACAAAGTACCAGCATAATACAATGTTATATCAGTGCTGGGTTGTTATTATTATCAGGAAAAAAAAGATTAGAAAAAAGACCCTTTTTAAAATGTTTTTTGAACGGTTAGGAAAAAGAACAATGTTACACCTTACGTGAAAGGCACATTATGCCCCAGAAATGAATAACGTTTTTTCTACTTTTGAAACAAATGGGCAAAATGAGGGTTTTATTAGTTCAAAGCATGTAGAATGCAAATCACCCTAAACGTGAAATTGTTTGTCATATAGTAGTACATGAATGTAAACAAAGAAATATTTCTAATCACCTAAACAGTACTTATTGCCAAAACAAAAAATGGTTCAGGTAATTGGGCAGTCAAAAACTCTTTGGAAATTAAAACGAAATACTAGAAATAAAAAGTTTTTTTAACATAGATATAAAAACATTTCTTAGTCAAAATGGGCGTTGTATTTAGCAAATGTCCATACATGTTTTACCTGTTCAAAACGTGTTTAGATTTCATTTATTAACGTATATTTTCAGTCTAGAGACAAAGAAGGGAAAACTTTTCATGAATTTCATCCAATACAAATGAATGGTAAATAAACTTTGTGGACGACTGGTCATGGGAAATTAACATTTTTTGTTAGCAAACATAATCATGTGAGTGAGCTAAGCTAATATTTGGCAAGAACTTACCTACTGTTATGTAATGTAATTCACTTGTTTTTGTTAATTTTGTTATTGCAGATGCTGTTGTTGTTGTTGTTGTTGTTGTAGATGTACTTGTTGTTGTTCTTTTTGTTGTTGTTGTTGTTGTTGCTGTTGTTGTTGTTGATGATGTTGTTGTTGTTGTTGTTGTTTTTGTTGTTGTTATGTTGTGGCTTTCTTGATAGTAACTTTGTGTTGTGTTTTGTGGTATTTTAAAATAATATTGTACATGTTGTAATCTGCAAGGTTCTGCTCTAATTCGTTTATAAAATAGTTACATTTAGAGCAATTTATTTTGCACCGAGATCTTCGTGCATTATTTATACAACATACGCTAGGAAATAGCTAGGCTGCGGGTTTCTGATTAGACCTCAATGTTAAAGCTTTCAGACATGTTATGCTGATATCATGTCAGATACAGACCACGGAGAATGTATATCAGATGATCACGTTTGACATGGTATTAACCTAGTGCAATCTCATAATTGGTTATGTCATTTATGTCTAACATTATGTCTGTTTCTCGATTAACAAGACTCGCATGATGGAAGCACTAACATCATACGTTGTTAGCTTTAGTTACATTTAACATTTCAAGTAAATAATGGACAGTGATAATGGAGCTTTGTCGTGTGCGTCCTTTACCATGTTACTCACTCCTATGATATGACAAGCGTTAATGAGGGAAGACAAAAGATGGGTTCAGCTCCGTTTAATGTGCTTGAATCCCAACCAAAATTGTTTTTTTTCATTCCAGTAAGATAATTAAGACCGTTAATGCTTTTTGAAAGAACTTTTGTTATATTTGGTTGTTTTAAGAGAACACTCCATGGGCTCTTCGTTTGCTTAAATGCTCATATTTCGATTAAATATAATTACTGTTACTTTCACATGTTTATATATGATGATGATGATGATGATGATGATGATGATGATGATGATGATGATAATAATTATGATTATTACTATTATTATTCATCATTATTATTATTATTATTATTTTTATTATTATTATTATTATTATTATTATTATTATTATTATTATTATTATAAATATTCTCCGTTCTCAAACACAATCGGTACCGGATAATGTAGATATGGAATCTAAATATACGGGTGTCAAATATACTGTGTTTGCTCCAACCACAGAGCAAGAAGTGAAAGCATTGATTAAAAAATCAGCCACCAAATCCTGTGAGTTAGATCCAATTCCAACATGGCTGTTAAAAGAATACCTAGATGAACTAACACCAGTGATAACCAGTTTTATAAACGTGTCTTTGGATGCTGCTTATGTACCAAAACACTCACGAATAATACCACTTCTAAAGAAACCAAATCTAGATCCTAACGAACTGAAAAACTATAGGCCTGTGTCTAACTTGCCATTCCTGTCTAAAATCTTGGAAAAGGTCGTTGACGTACGACTTGAGAGCCATCTGAAGACAAATAATCTACACGAGGTCAACCAATCTGCTTATCGCAAGTTCCATTCGCCCGAGACTGCATAGTTAAAAGTTCAAAATGACATTCTACGGTCTTTGGATAATAACAATGTGACTATTCTCGTGATGCTTGATTTGTCTGCTGCTTTTGATACAATTGATCACGGAACGCTCCTTCGCCGCCTTGAACGACACTTTGGCATTACAGGCAAGCCACTCGCATGGATGACGTCATACCTGACCGACCGATACCAGACTGTATGCATAAACGACAAACTATCACAACCAGTCCACATGGAGTACAGTGTACCTCAAGGGTCTGTCCTGGGACCCAAGAGCTATGTGATGTATACGAAACCTGTCGGAGAAATCTGCCGTAAACATGATCTAAACAACCATTTCTTCGCAGATGACTCACAACTCTATCTATCCTTCAAACCAGTGACTAATATTTCAATTCAAGAGAATATAAACCGTATTGAAAGATGTCTTGAAGATATTGTAAGTTGGATGAATGCCAACATGCTGAAGCTAAACGGCGATAAAACAGAGTTGATCATCTTCTCATCTGAACATAACGCACAACCTGTTTCAGATGTTACAGTAACAGTCGACGGTTCGAAAATTAGCCAATCATCTAGTGTGGGCAATCTTGGTGCATTTCTTGACTCGAACATGAGGATGGAACAACATGTAAATAATGTCTGTAGGAACTGTTATGCACAATTAAGACAAATCGGTCACATCAGACCCTATATTACTGTTAAAGCAACCAAATCTCTAGTAAATTCACTTGTTCCTTCTAGGTTAGGCTACTGTAATGCACTGTTATATGGAGTCTCTAAGCAGTCAATGACCAAGTTACAACATGTTCAAAATACAGCAGCTAGAATTGTGACCAAACACTCACATATGACCACATAACACCTATCTTACGTGAACTTCACTGGCTTCCGGTAGAGTATCGGGTCGAATATAAAATTTTGACTTATACATATAAATCCCTCATCGATCAATGACCAGCCTATATAAAAGACATGATAGACGTGTACATCCCAGTCAGAAATCTGAGGTCCCAGAATAACTCAATGACATTAGTTGTGCCTAAATCTCGGACAGTACGATATGGTGACAGGTGCTTCCAGACAGCCGCAGCGAAATTATGGAACGCGTTACCACCTGACGTTAGAGGCTGTAATACCTTGCCATGTTTTAAGAGAGCTCTCAAAACACATAATTTCATAAAGTTCTATGGACGTTAGTTCATAAATCATCATACGTGTACTACTTTTGCTATATTATCAGTGTTAATTTTAATTGTGCCTTGATTTTAAACTAAATGTGTCTGTATTTCTTACCATCCTTTACTGGTTTTAGATTATCATTATTGTTTAATAGGTTTACTTAATTAATGTTGTACATTATCTCTTATATATATATATATATATGATTATGTTTTATCGGATTTATGTAAAGCACTCTTGAACATTTATTATTTATGAAAAGAGTGCTATAGAAATGTGGTATATAATAATAATAATAATAATTATTATTATTATTATTATTGTTATTATTGTTATTATTATTATTATTATTATTATTATAAATTAACATTGTAGATACAGAATTTCCGGAACCACATTTTGAGGCTGATGATATTCTAGTAGAAATATGTCCGAACAAAACAACGCTGAAGATGAGCTGGAAAATGAAGCGGAACACAGGTGAATACATTTTTTCGGTCGAAGGCCGTCTGATTTCACCTTGACTTCCGCTAAAATTAACAGTTAAGAAATGAATATAGGCAGAATTTTCATTGGTCATTTTTACACTAATAGCCTGTTTGATTGATACTTTAGGGGAGCTTCCGTTATAGGTAGAGGTCTGTTCGATTGCGCGATGGCACGGAGTGTTGGAAAAAGATATAAATCAGAATTAATATAAAAACACATAAAGATATTTTTTAGATGTTTCTAACAGCTTTTTAATAAATATATGAAATTAAATATGACAGATCGCCTTTTGATACTTTTGCGTTCGATTGAGTTTCTCTTCTAAGCTGTTCTAGTCATTATATTCTCTTTATTTGGCGAAAATGTCTTGAGAAAATAATCATATATAAAAAACAAAATAAACCGGGCCATATATGTGTAGGTTAAACGATGATTCATCACTCGCAAATATACATATTATATCATTCCATTATTTTTTGTACTTTGTTAGATACAAGCAAAAATTGCTTAAACTACTGATTTATACTATACAGACCATTTCATATATAAGTTATGTTTTGCAGGTGGCGACATGCAGTTGTACTACCGGTTGAAGGGAATATTTAGTGGACAACTTCTGCTCTATAGATGTGTTAAACTTCCCTTGCAATACTCAAACCAGCGTAGTCATATTGTAAATATAAATATAAGATAATATATTTCTTAGCTCATAACTGTCTTTTATAGTGTGTGACATCAAAGAGTGTAACACTTAATTTGGTGATATTTGGTGCATCTACTTTTTAACGCCAAGTGATACATTGTCATTTAAGCTCCATGTTTAGCGCTGTAGGAGCACATTTGTCTCGGAGCACATTTGTCTTACGTAAGACCGATGCGGTCGCATTTGTCCCACATGAGACAAATGGGACCTCAAATGTCTTCCCAAAAAAACTCATTTGTGTGACAAATGTGCTCCGATCAAGTTTTTCAAGGGACAAGAAAGCACATTTGTCTCATGTCATTTTTATGAATTATTTTTCACACATTTCCCCACGTCAGAAATTTTTTTTTAGAATCGAGGTTCGCCGTTTTACCTCATGTCAAGTGTAATCATCAAAAGGTTTGCTTATGCTTTCCTTATGAAAACTAAAGTGAACTATTAATTATAATATCTCTAATTCAAGAAATTGATTGGCTTAACCTGAAAGCGTAGACTGAAACATACTAATTACCGTTCACGATGGTACAATGGTGACATACACGTTGATGAAAACGCGATGGTGCGATGGTGAAAACACAATGGTACGAACGTAAACGACGATTGTTCGATGGTGAAACAACGAAGGCTCGATGATGAAAACGTGTTGGTACTATGGTGAAAGACGATGTTACGATGGTGAAAATACGATGGAACGATATTATGAAACTGCGATGGCATGATGATGAAAACGCGATATTATTTTCTCTACCGTGTCATCGCATCATCGTGATTTCACCATCGTGCCATCGTGTTTTAATCATCGTACCAGCTCATTTTCACCATTGCACAGCGGTTCAGGGAGACAAAATGTTACTTATGTCCAAACGGAACACCGTAATCGGTTGATACTGAATGATGCAATATCGTGACTCGTTTCGTATCTCGCCGAATTCTCGCGTCTCGCTTCGCATCTCGTTCGTCGGCGCGAGACAAGAAATTGGTTCCGCTATGTAGTATTCCCTTTATATTCTACATAAAATCACTTAAAGGCTTATTATGCCCGAAAAAATAAAAAAATATTCATTTCTAAAATCTCGTGGTACGGGATACTTCGACATTGCGAGATCTCGTGTTACAATATCGTGCCCTCGCTTCGTGTCTCATCGGAATGTCTCGTCTCGCCCGATTCTGAGTGGCCCGATATTCCATAGTTATGGCATTACCCTGATTGTTTTAGGAACTCATGCTTGTTGTAAGTGCTTTTTCAATGGTGGATCTGAAAGCCGCAATTCTTGGAAAATGACGATTTTTTATACAAATATTTCTGATGAAAACAAAACGTGTGTAATGGTTTTCTTATTTTCTTCCATAGATCATTTACGGGCCTCCGTGGCCGAGTGATTTTAAAAAACCACTTGCCCCTAACCGCTGTAGGTTCGACACATACACGGGGCGTCGAACTATAAATGCGAGGATCCCGGTCAGAGTCCAAATGCGGAAAACATATCCGCGTGCGCACGTAATAGTATCGCGTGGCCACGTAAGAAAAAGCTATCGTGTGCGCACGTAATAAATAAGAAAATTTTATGTCTCCTTTATGCCACCGTAGATACTTACGTGTTTTTGTTAAGAATATTTGTTCCTAGTGCCTTAACTCATATATTAAACTTTATGCATTGAAAATAAACGTACAATAAGAATACACTTGCTGCATTTGTGTTTAGGTTCTGGATGCTGCACTTGTAGAAATTTTCATTGTGACATGCAGAACAAGGATATTATTTAATTTAATATATGACTCCTATGAATAGGCAGAAAGTTTTTGACTGACCGGAAGTGACCTAAAAACGGTATAATAAATACAGAAAACACAGAACAATAGCTGGTAGCCGGCATACAGATGGATATAATTATTACCTTTTAAGAATTTTATGGAAAAATGTGAGACAAATGTGCTTCGAGTGTCCTTTCTATTGTGTGTCGAACACATCTGTCTCATTTCCAATTTGTCGCAAATATGAATGTTTACGAACAAATCGGTCACACTTCGTGAGACAAATGTGCTTCGAGACAAATGTGCTCCTACATAGCGCTGCTACTTTTTCTAGAATAGATATCTAAAATAATTTCGATTTATATACTTTGTCATGATTTTCATAAAGAAGAAAAACAAATATTTTACCAACTAGCGGTATCGAAATAAGATCGGATACCCTTGAAAAATCAATAAGGGTATCAATAACGGATAAAATCAACGACGTTTGATGTGTCTTGAGGTAGAAAATAAACATATAGTCACACCCGACACCCGAGTTCTTCAACCACACGTAAAGGTAGAAAGTTTCAATATGACCTCTGCAAGATCCATGATATGAATAAAAACCCAACTAAAATCAAATTTACTGTTTATTATTATGAGTAAAAGTATTAAAATAAAAATGTGCTTATAACTCAAATTATTTCATCTTTTAATTTGTCTTTAAACCAGATGGCACATAATTTTAAAAATCTGACACTGATTATCTATTTGCAGATGTGCTGGTTCCCCATGCGTTATTTATCATATCGACCAATAATTAGTGCTTACGCGTCATCATTGACAGATGGGCAACCGCAGCAGTCCTACTTTGGTGAACTAAATACCAATATGTTAGGTACAGTACCAATAATCTTGAACTTAAATGGCTTTTAACTTCTAATTCTCTGATAAACGGAAAAAATAGGAGAAGATTTACAAGTCATTACTGTAGTATTGTGCGGACAATATGATTTATTAAATAAACCGGTGTTTGTTTGTTTTTTGTTGTTGCTTTTTTTAAATGGTGGGTGGTGGGGGCAATTTTCTCAATAAAATTGATAATCACTGGGAAGTGCAGTGAGTAAATGCTCTGAAATTTACAAGATTTTGATACAGACCTGTATGCAGTTATACAAAAATGTTGAAAAAAAAATGATTTCGCTCCCTCTATGACAAAAATACTTGAGTGGAGTCCATTTGAATATTAAATTTGTCGGTCCTTCTGACTCATTGATTAATATTTTCAAAGCTTATTTGATTTCATTCCCTTTATATTCCGTTTATTTTCAGCTGATGGTGACAGTTGTAAACATGTTTGTGATATGACAAATATTCAAATAAAGCCGGTGATATTGTGCAGTCATAAATCGTATGTAAAATTTGATACATCAGTTTCTATGAGGGGGCTGTATTTATATCCAATCGATTCAACAATATGCAAGAAGACGACGCGAAAACATATTTTAAAAAAGGTGCGTGCTAGTTCGTTTGTTTTTGTTTTTTTTGTCTATTTTTTTTGTTGTTTTTTTTCAAACTAGTTTATTCACATTATATATTCTGCATGGCTTCATATAAAAGGATTACTTCGTCAATTCAAGCTCTAATAATAGTTTGAAATAATCTTAAAAGTGTGCAGGCAGAGTCGTGTCGTATATGGGAGACGTAAACGTTCCCTACTTTTACTTTCTCAATTTATTTATTAAAAATAATAATTATCTTTATTTGGAGAAGGTAACACATTAAGAATATACAACAGCAATCATATATATCTTAATTCTTAATGTGGCCTTCTGAACTAGAAAAAGAACAATAACAGAAAATGCATACAGTGACACAAAATTAAGGACTTATCATGTATGATATGTGTAATTAACTCTAATTGTTACAAAGTGATTGACTCATTCATATTCTTTTGACAGACAATTTGTTTATTTCATAAATAACAGAATAAATTATGGACAATAAAAAATCGGCCTTTACAAGATGTGCACATTTTGTTATGATTGTTTGGCAATAATTTATTTCCCAATAGGCAAAATACTTTGCTATCTTCAATTGAATCTTTATTTATCATAAGAAGTCAAGGGAGACAATCAATGTTGACAGCTCAGATATTTTACGAGTGGAATATTAGTTGTCCTAGTATGTCTTTTGAGCAAGTCTTCCGTGTTTAGATTGGTGACTAATTTTGAAAACAATAATTGTTTTTGTTATGATGATAGGATATACTTCGGTTGATGTATATTTTTTGATATATGGTATCGGAATGGTAAGACTATTTTAAGTGGATTTCTTTCTCAATTTTAGAAATCCAATAGGCTGGAATTTTCGCTGAACTGTACTCATTCTGGTTTAGTCAATATAACAGTAAGTAACGAACACAATTTGTCTGCCTTACATAATGTAAAAAATATGTGTTTCCTTTAACACTAGTATTGATTTATACGATTATGTCTTTACATTTTGTGTTTAAAATAATTTTTTCTATGTTTTTTTTTATTTTTCTTCTTTTTATTATTTTACTTCCTATTGTTTTTTCCTTTTTTTCTCACGCGTTTTTGTAATTTCCATTTTTTTTAAATTATTTCCTTTGCTAATATTTCCTTTCCTATCATATCCTTTTTTTGTCATTTCCTTTTTTTTTGTAATTTCATGTAAATAATGACAGATTGTATATCATAATGTGTTGTGAGTTTGTCTGTATCTTCGATCAACTTCTAAAGTTGTACCTAATTTATATCTTCATATTTAAATGTATGTGAAAATGAAACCTAAAATAATTTTTAATATCATCATATCATAGTTTTTGTTCATACAATACATGTATATAATAACATTGTTCTAATGGACATTTGCTCTTTTCTTGACAGGTATATTTTAAGACACATGGTCACTATTGCAGCAAATACTACACTGTTAGACTGATTTGCGGTAAGCTAAGTTTGTTTTATATCCTAAACATTTGACAGAATTAAATATGCATAAACAATATCCGTTATACTTGAGACTTAAGATAAAGTCTGACTTTTAAAAAGGATAACTTTTGCCTAACTTAGTGCCACTTATTAACAACTTATTATTAATAAATATAAATTATAATGATTAACTTTTCTTTATTTTTTATTAAAACTTCCTGGTACAATGTTTTTCAAACGTAATATTTCCAATTTTGTAGTCAACTGTAAAAAAGTTGTAAAAAATTTTATAAAATTACAAAGGTTCTGGCCACACAACCCTTTTATAGTTATCTTCCTTACATATAAATTTGTATTATAGATATACGTTTAAGATATCAATGACAATACAAATATGTCAATATTGAATATAAAATGTATGTTTGAAGTTTTCTTTACAGATAATTTAGAACATTGATTTGCTACAAAACTGCCAATACACGACATAAAAAAAATGTGCATAAAAACTTGTTGTTATTTTCTTTATAAACTTATTATATCTGAGTCTATTACATTTTAATTTCAGATTCTACTACAACAACTTCTGTATTTTCTGTGTTTTCTACGGAAGCAAAGAATAATTCGGACTCTACTACTAACCTGTATATTACATTAGGAATCTTCCTGTCTACCCTAGTCAACGCAGTTATCGTTTATTTCGGTATATATATAGTCTTCATACTTTAATCATATCTTGCCCAATAATATCATCTACCACTAGGCGTGTCTCAAAATCAAAGTATGTAAGTTACAGATTGAAAGGAAATTCTGAATGTTGGAAAATAATATTTAATTCTCCATATGTCTCAGTTGAAGAACCATGTTTTTTTCATGGGGGAATAGTCCTGTTCAAGCCATTTAGAAAACAACATCTTGATTTTACATAGAGATGATGATGATGATGATGATAATGTCGTTGTTGTTGTTGTTGTTGTTGTTGATGATGATGTTGTTGTAATGGTTTTACTGGCTATTTCTTAAGACTCAACGTCAAATAATATGAAATCAAATAAATGTAAAGTTAAATCAATAATTTGTCGTGTAAATTTCGTCTTGAAACCAGCTTTTACATTGACAACTTCGTAATCAATAGTTTCTTTTTACAGTTTGTCAAAGATCAAGGAAGATTCCAAGAGTTCGTCAAAACTTGGATGGTAAGCTTTTTACATTAATGTTGAAGCATTAATTTAAAGCTTTAATTGCCAGATTATCTGAGTAAACTATCTTACAAAAATATATGTAATACTTTTTACTTATAACTTGTTTGCAGAGCATATAGTGCTTTGTACATTTTATATATAAATGTTTTTTTTACAATAGGCATACATTTAATGTCTTGTGTCTTTTACAGATATAAATATTGGTATAGATGGTCACGTTGATATCCCACTGAATGTGTTGAATAACCAATCCAACAATGTGACAGGTTTGTTATCCCATTACCTTATTCTTAATTTGGTCAATAAAAACAACATCCGTTTGATCTATCCTTTGCATTCTGGGACCGGAAGTGCTTAACTTTGTCGCCAGTATCTACCCAGAACATCGTCAACTGTTTTTTATAAGGCTTTAGGCTGTTGCTTTTCTTAATATTGAATTTTACCATCTTCAAATGGACTGTTCCAAATTCAAAGTAAGACAAGTGTAGTTTACAAAATAAGCATGTTTATGTTTAATGTTGCATTGTTTTGATATGTCTTTGTAAATTTGCATTTTTTTGCTTGAACTTTTGGTTTGTTGGTCATATTTAACGTAGCCCGTCCACCTAACCGAATTTCCTGGAAAACTGACCAGTAATTACAAATTTTTCCACCAATGACCGGCTATTAATCCTACATGTATATGATTTTCGAACCCGCGGCGACGAACAAATGACAAAAAGAACCGAGATAATTTCAACGCAGAAATTTCGTCTCGCCCGAAGATCGGACCAACAAAGCCTGCTTTACAATCCTTGTGGTCTCCATTTTGAAGGCTATGTGTTATGACAGTATGTATGAATATAGAATGGTAATTTCATGAAGTAAAATATTTTCATTTTTTTATCTTATTTATAAGTAGACAACGAGGACTTTAGTTCAACGCCATGCGTCATTGAAATGATTACTAAAGTATAACCCACAGTGACATCTAGATCAACAAGGTCAAAGATGTCGAATGTTCGGTTTCCATCATAATTACCGTTGGCGTGTCAGGCTTGAACCATGATGGTCATTACGTGGTTGAATATACCGGAGTTTATCTGTGCATACAGGAGTGTAATCACAGCCATTATCAAGCCTATGAACGACACGAAAGGTCACAGTCATTGAGGGGATATAACACTTCCATTTTAGACCTTGAGAATCTTATTATGCAAGATGTGGTGGAAAACATTATTTACCAGCTTAAGTAACTTTTAGAGAATTGTATAATAGCTAAAAGAAGGGTTGCTTTGAGACACCAAGTGCGTGAAAGACAGACAATTAAATGTATTTGTTAAAATTTTATGCTCCTATGAAGCAACAATAACATTATCAGTCATATTGCGTGATGGATATAAAGTTAGTTACTCGAATTACAACAGTGTAATTTTATGATTCAAATAATATATAAAAGGGAGATAATCCTGATGACGTTATGACATTTGATGACTCATCACGTTACAATATCAAACATGTTTTTTGTATCATAATAAAGAATTCAATAATTATTTAATATATACAGCCATCACTTTAGTTGACACGTGACCATTCATCATCACCGTGCAAAAACTAATCATTGGGCATTCCAGTTAAGGTGCGATTGCAGTTTATTTACTTTTTAATTGTATTTATTCATTTATTTCTATGTCTATTTCTGTTCATATCACAAAAAGTTATTCATGTGTGCTTGTGCTCTTTCTGATACAATTTAACGAAAGATATGTTCTTAACCTTCTTTTTACGTTTTAGTAAAAACTTTTGTTTTCAAATAATTATCTTTATATTATATGAACCTTAGTGCCCCCTTCACAAATCCTTGCGTTATGATCCTTGACTGTTATGCAAATGCAAATACACTCTGTACCCAAATGACACTGGTCCTAAACTTAAGAAAAGGTTAACATACATTGCAGACATATATATATGCCCGAGTGGATGAGGTAACGTTCTTAGAATAAAATGCCTCTCTCTTTTATAGGTCCGAATCCCGCAAGTGACTTTAGAATCTCTCAAGTGATGAGGCATTATAGCCTGCTGATGTCGGTGGTTTTACTCATGACAAAACCAACATAGTGCGTTTGCGACCAGCATTGATCCAGACCAGCCTGCGCATCCGCGCAGTCTGATCAGGATCCATGTTGTTCGCTTACCAACACTATTAAGTAAGATACCGTGATGAGGTAACTATTCAATGGAAATTGCCTCAGTCTCTTATATAGGTTCGAATCCCGCAGTGGTTGGATCTCAGTGATGGTCGCATCTAAGCCCTTATGTGTGGTTTTGACGTCACGTATCAATATGTGCTGATATGCTACCCAATCAGAATACTGGAAAATACTTTAGATGACCTTTATGTGTCGGTGTTTCTAACGAAAAAAGAAGATAATTTCACACTGTTGAATAAACACGCACTTATTTTATAACATCAAGGAATATTTATCAGTTGTCTATAATTAACATGTGACGCTTCAATCATTTACTATGGCAAATACATATTTACAAGTAGAGAGTCTCTATATTATAAAGTATTGAAGCAGTTCCAACTAATGCTTGGATTAAAGTTAAATAAGTATCTAGCATGTACTATTTTGAGCGTTACGCTTCAAAAATGAAACGTTGTAAAGATTAAAGCATGTAAACAGTATGTATGTAGAACAGTAAGTAGTTTTTATTTAACCGGGAAGTTCAATTAACATTTTTACAGCGTTCAAATGAACGCATGGGCAATTATAACACTCGGATCGTGAAGGGGAATACTTGGGTTTTAACTTGGTCAACCGGAAAACATTGATACTAATTCGTATCAAAGGTTAAATGATGTTTCTTTTATCGCATGAATAATGTGAATGTAATAATATGGTGAGTTGAAAACAAACAGTATGATTGTTTTAACATAATAATTTATGTTCAGGGTCTATAATCAGTACTAATAGCAAATCTTTAGGTCATTTTTTCGTATTGGTTCTGTGTAAATAGATGAAAGTGTTTGTTTTTTATGACTTAAGAATACCGCAAAACTGACTGAGAAATGACGCAAAATATCTAAGTTCACCACGGCAGAGTATCTATTTTAAAGAAACTTCATATTTTATAGTATGGCAACTGATGTAAAGAACGTTAATGCATTTCGACTCTATTTTGTCATATTGTACATGTATGTTTTTACATGAAGAATAAATGATACTACACCTGATATTGCTTAAGTAAGCCTTTCAAAAAAAAAAATCTTCAAATCTGTAAAATTGACAAAAATCTGGAAAAATTGTGATCCATCAGAGGCATTAATCACGTAAGGGACAACATTTTGCAGCTAATTTTAACATGCTATGCAATGGTAATTAATCCTTATCCCACAAAATGTACAAAATGAACTTTGTCCGTCTTTCAGTCTGGACAAAACCATTCATTAATTTTAGGGAAAGATTTAAAAAAAAGTACTGTCTGAATAGCGATCAGTGCCATGACATGGTAACTTTGGTGGATACATTCACCGCCAGCAAGACAAATGTATATAAACTGGTCCAAAAAATGAACATTATAAATGATACAGATAGAGAAAAACAATGTTTGTTTTTATCTCCATGCGTTTCATAATATATTCTGACTTGTTGTTTATCTTTAAACACCGTTTAAATACGCGAGTGTATTAACTATTTTATTTCAAGGCGATGTATTTGCTGTAAAGGTTTATTAATTAAAATTGTATGTGAACACGATATATTATGATACATGTAAACCGTAAAAATTTAATGATTTCATTCATATTATAAAAGGAAAATCTCACCGTGTTCTTATACAAACACGTATTACTGTACATCATACTTCCTGATTGGTGGCGTTGCGCATCAAACTGCGTCATTCTCTACAAAGTTTGATTAATGTAATTGTGGTTAGTACGGATTCGTTTACTTCTGTAATTTAAACTGTCGATTTAAATCCTTTTGTCTCGTAGCATTTAATCTTCTGCCGGATAAGCATATAAGGTAAGTGCTCGTAATTGTTTTAGTCTTTATATTTCCGTTACTTAAGTGTTACAAAACTTGGTGGTTGTGTTGGTGTTGGTAGTTTTACATTCCGGTGCACGGCAATAAGCCAGAGCACAGTTAAGCCACCTTATCTTTTCTGGGCAGGCTGTCAATCAGTTTACCAGTACTGGTTGCATTCACTTTCACAAGGAACTGATGACTACTGTTCATACAAGATAACAGGTAAGAACAAATGACCGTAGAAGGGATTTCATGATCAATCACAGCGAAAGTGACCTGCACCGTCCGGGAATCGAACCCGGGTCGATCGATTCATAGTCCAACACCTATTGAGCTAACCGCACGGCTAAAAGTTCTTTGATAAATACTAAAGACATATAATTGACATATATTTCGCTTACGTATACTGCCATCTCAATATTTTATACGTTGGAAATATGATATAGTAATTACTGACTTGTTTGCGGTCTGATTTTAATATATTTTATTTGTGATATCATGAGAAACACTGCAATAAGCGCCGAAGTTACTTGTATCTGTTTAGATTGGATGAATATAAATATATTTTTTTTCAAGCGAAAAATGAACATGATGACCTTAAATTATACGCTGTTCAAAACTTCTTTCGTTTTATAAATGCGTGATAACAAACATGGTGGCTGATTTGTACCATTCATGACCCGCCAAGCAAAAGTCGTAAGATACCCCCCCCCCCCCCCCCCCCCTTATTAGCGTGTTTTCGCTCCGCATCCTCGCCATTTGAACTTGTTAATACTCAATTAGGTCGCGTGGCGAAAACACGAATGGCACTAATCAGCCACCATAGTTTTCCACACCTTAAGATGTGTACAAATATGTATCCAAAATATCAAACTAAGTGAAAAGATCATACTTATAGTCGCAGTCTAAGTGAGACTTTTGATTTGTTTTCTATACAACATGTCTTATTATTTTAACATAATTATTTCTACCACTTTATAACACAGTTAGGGTTGTTTCAGAGTGTTTCTTCAAATAATGTTTGATAAATTCGATAAATAGTCGGTGCAAAGGCATTGCTTTAATCACTTAATTTGAACTCTTTTTTATTTATTTATTATTTTTATTTTCTTTTATTTATTTATTTTTGAAAATTTTCATTAAAAGTTTCAATTTTGAATCTGTAAGCCATCTGCTTTTATAATAAGAATGGTAACTCATTTATTTAAAACTGCATGTTCCAAGATGAGCTAAAATATTACAAAAAAAGTCAAAGAAAAATGTACAAATATTTTAAGAAAAAAAGAAATATCCAGTACTTATTTACATGTTATGTGCGTTTAATGACTGATATTGAAGTATTATCACCATATTTTTAGTGCATGACTAACACAATAAGTGCTATTTTTTAATTTACTCAAACATATTAAGGAAAAATTACATTATAACATTACCAAACAAAAAAAGTACATTTCAAGAGTTTTTAGAGAAAAAATATTTAAATGGTCATTGCTATATACATGTTTATAATACAGTGAAAAATATCAGCATTAAACAAAATATCAACACAAACGTAAAATAAACTCATAAACTTAAATGAATTCGCATGTTGTTTGTTAATATCTGACGTGAAGTAATTAGTAATGAAGGGAAAAAAACAAAACGAGAATGCAAAATAGATACTGGCTACTGTTGTATAATTTTGATGTATGTGTCGTTATAATAGTTTATTATTTTCCGTGAATATATTTATTAATGCAAATTGATTAATAATGTCGTCATGTATATATTATTTTTTATATTTAGTATATATATATTCAAATTGAGTCCTAAGTTTTTATACGTTCCTGTACAAACAAACCTGTGTTTGTAACCACTGCTGAGACCTAATTTAGAATCACAGTGACTATCATTTTAAAGAAGTAAGGGTGTACTCGTTTCTGATGCATAATGTGCCTTTAAGTAGTTCTAGTAAAAAAATGTTGCATACAATTGTATACTGTATAAAACAAATGAAAAGTGTTCATAGCAAAGTGTATACATTTTGCTAAATAAACGAATTTTATACTTGATGACATTAACTTTTTCAAACTTATTTAATGTTGACCAATGACAATAAATATGGTTTAAAGTATGTTCCCCTACATTAATTAATTTTAATAGAATAACACAGAAGTTAAACTAGGGACAGTATATATCTGCTCAGACTTCACAGGTATACGGGTGGTACACAGAAGGTACACGGAAGGTCCTGGACTGTACACGGAATGTACATGTGTGGTACACAGAAGGTACACGGGTGGTACATGGAAGGTACACGGGTAGTATACCAGCATTTTGAGGGAGGGTTATTATTTAAAGTGAACCGATTAAAAGAAGCAAAAGACAGCGGAGGGTTATCAATAAAACATCGCTAGATGAGAAGGAAATATTTATACATAAAATAGCAATGTATGACAAGAAAAACAGGTATTCAGTATGTGACATAAGTAATTCTCTACTTATTGAATGAAAATTAAATAAACAATTTGAAAATTTGAGTAAAACTATGCATGGAATGGGAATACTGTCTTTCTAAATATCCAAACCTATTGCTTTTTTTCGTAGGAGGAAGTAACTGAAATGATTATATCAAAACTGACGTAGTAAGGAAGAAAATATTTTTCCCGTTTACTTGAATGTTTTGTAAAATATTTAATTTTAAATATGTTGAATAGCCCTTTTCGGGAACGAAAAGAATTGTAATAAAATATAGAAAACGTTTAAAAGATAAATACAAATATCAAGTTAATAAAGAAATATTTCAAGGCTGCGGAATATATTAGAGATCCAAACAGAATTACGTAATATAATCAGTGTCAAAATATATATGAGCCGCGTCACGACAAAACAAACGTAATGCGTTTGCGACCAGCATGGATCCAGACCAGCCTGCGCATCCGCGCAGTCTGATCAGGATCCATGCTGTTCGCTATCAGTTTCTCTACTTGAAATAGGATTTTTAAGCTAACAGCATGGATCCTGATCAGACTGCGCGGATGCGCAGGCTGGTCTGGATCAATGCTGGTCGCAAACGCATTACGTTGGTTTTGTCGTTACGCGGCTCATATACAAAGAGCCCAGAATATTATGATAACAAGGCAAAACTGGCCATGGAAATGTAAAGTACCATATGCTTTGTGATTGTTCATACATTCTCCAACATCATTATACTTTATAGTTGAAGACAAACATAAAATAAAATAAACCAAAACTCGGATAAATCATGCAATAGACAAACAAGTTCCTCAATAGAGGCGAGGAGAGTATCATATATAAGTCACTGTTGTAAGGAAAAACGAACAAAGGGTCTTGGGGTTAGTTCATTTACTTCTTAAACACTTCATTAAGTCGTGTGAACAAGAACATAACGGAAACTTCGACAAAGAGATACTACTTAAGTACAATTAACACATGTATATATTTTTCTTACTTTCTTGCTGTGCGACAGTTAACAAATTTGCCACTAAAGATAAACTTGTTGATGATACTTCTTACTGGTTTGAAAAAAAATGTATTATTCAGTTAAACTTATGAGAAGTGGAAGTTCTAAAGGTAACTGCACAGGAAGGTCTAGATCAACAAAGTTGTCGACTCATTTCTGAAATATTGCACGACATAGTAAAATAAAGACCTTTAAGATCTCCACCAGATCTCCACCAGATCTCCACCAGTAAAGAGTAAGAATCGCCATCCTCTACTAGTAAATCACCTTCCTCCATCATTAAAGCTTGAAAATCACCTTCCTCTGCCAGAGAAGCTTAGAAATCGCCTTTCTCAACCGGTAAATCTTGAAAATCGCCTTCCTGCACCAGTAAAGCTGGAAATCGCCTTTCTCCACCAGTAAAGTTTGAAATCGCCTTTCTCCACCAGTTGAGCTCGTAAATCGCCTCCCTCTATCAGTTAGACTTACAGTCGACTTCCTCAACCAATAAAGCTGTAGAATTGCCTCAACTAGAACAACTTGAAAGTTCCCCTCGAGTAAAGAAATTAATAATCGCTTTTACATTATTCATTGCACAGTATCTGTTTCCAGGTTACTAATGTTAAATTTGCTACGTTCTACGAAATGAGATTTAAACGTACTTGGAATGAGTAAAATCTAATGGCTATCTTCATTTGAGTCGTTTCACGACAAAACAACATAATGGGTTTGAGACAGCATGGATCCAGACCAGTCTGTGCATCCGCGCAGTCTTATCGGGATCCATGCGTTCGCTTACCAACCTATTACAAGGTAGAGTAACTGATAGCAAACAGCATGGATCCTGATAAGACTGCGCGGATGCGCAGACTGGTCTGGATCCATGCTGGTCGCAAACCCACTTTGTTGGTTTTTGTCGTGACACGGCTCATTTTGATCTTGTAAATAATAATGAACGAGAAATAGGGGTGGATCAAGTCAGATATTTCGGACTTGGTGTTATGTAAATGTTTAAGTCTTTCAATTCTAACTGGTACTGTATAAATAAATACTGGTAACTATTTATTTTGACCAATGAGTAACACAAAGCTGACTAAGAATTGCTTTGCAATATCTTTTCATCATGACTGAGTCTCTTTTTTTTCAGAAAATCTCAAATTTTGTTAATAAAATGAAGACACTTGAATGTTAAAATGTGAACCTTAAATGCATCAGAAAACACCATTTATCGTGCAGATTTTCTTTTTCATTAAAGACGGCTTTCAGAACCCTCATAAGAAGGGCGGGCGTTAATTTCAAACTTCAGTACCCTAAGCAGAATTTTTTGGACCTATCCTTGTTTATTTATATACTGATATGTAATATTGTACATGTATGCCTCATAGAAACTGTTGTCATTCGTTTTACATTGGCTATTTACGTGAAAATTAACTGGTTCGCAACCTCGAATCATAAGACCACATGCCGCAAAGAACCCACTATGAAATTAGTTTGCAGTCTTATAAGAGTTGCGTCACCCCATGGAAATTTTAGTTACTGCATTTCAATATACTCACCGTCCTGGCACAATGCCTCTTAGACGGTGTATAATTATAACTTCTTGAACGGTAGTGCGCATTGGACCGTGTCGTGCTAAACAAAGTTTGTTTGAAAGTAATTGTGGAAATTACGTAACTGCTCTCTTCTGAATTTTAAACTCTTTTTTTAGCAGGTTATCTCAAGGTAAATGCTATTCTCCGGGAGAAAGTAAAAACGTTGTAATGTTTTTGATCCGCGATAGACAACGCAATAATTTTGTGGCATTTTTTTAAAATCAAATTATGTTATTCAATGGTTGTCATACTTAAAGGAAAGAGTTAAAAACGTTGATGTATACTGACATATTACATGCTGATATATTATTGTTATACATTTCACCTGCATATACTGCTATCTTAAAAATTTCACACGATGGAAATGTGATACAGTAATTACCACAGGTGTATGGCGCGTAGCCTAGTCAGTTACTTGTACCTCCACCCCTCGATCCCTCCACAACCCCCCTCATGTGTTTATATAAATAAAATCATTTCAAACGCAATTCGTGCCATTAAAATATCACAGATCATTGAAAAATCGATTCTACTGGATATGTGCTATTCAACTCTCCGTTTATTTTCTTATGAAAATATGCACTCGTCTGGCTTCGATATTCTTACTTACATTGTAAGTCATTTTAAGCAAATTTAAATTTTCGTTTCAAATGTAAGTGAAAATATTTCTGTTAAATGAAAAACAACTGTCATTTGCTGTTTTTACGCTAAGAGTGGTAATCAGTCGTGAAATTTTGACATTGTATTTTGAGACATTCTCGGACTTTCCGCTTTAAAAAGGCCCATTATGCCATAGAAATGCTTTTAATTTTATTGTTATTATCATTATCGATGTCATTTTATAGTTCCAAAAATATTGCCTTGAACAATAGCTTGTTTCTGTTGCTTTTCTGCAATTACTTTAAGTATTGTGTATGTCAAATACTAATTTGTTATTGTATTATGTTACATTTATAACTCATATGATCACATTCAAAGCTACTATTTTCAGTAATAAGCATCTAACATGCTTCAAAACCATTATAACCCTTATTTTAACGTTACAAACTTATGTTTGCACTTTGTAAAGGATTGAAAAAATATTGCGCCTTTAGATATTTTATGAAAACCCAAGATAATATAAATAGCAGTTCTTTAAATTATAAGTCGAAGAAATTTACCCTTGAATCCCAATTTGTAAAGATATATACGGTTGAGAAATAGTCAAAGTTCACCTGATAGCTTATTAAATGTCAGTGACCTACCTTAGGTGCCTTCTCATGTATGAAATAATGCACAAACTGACACCTGACGTATAATTCAAACCTAATGCTTGAAAATCGCCTTCCTCTGCGCAGACTGCGCTTAAAGATTGAAAATCGCCTTCCTCTGCCAGTAAAGATTGAAAATCGCCTTCCCCTGGCCGTAAAAATTGAAAATCACCTTCCTTTGTCCGTAAAGATTTTAAATCGCCTTCATTGAATTTTTAAGGTTTGAAATCATCTCCCGCTTTGAAATCAAATCGCCTTCCTCGACCAGTTTAACTTCAAAATTTTCATACGCCATTTATATACAAGATTAAAAACAAATAAAATTTATCTTATATTATCAAAATAAAACAGCATCATCGTCATCATCATCACAATCTTTTTCTTCTTCACATCATCATCATTGTCATCATCATCATTATCATCATCATCATCATCGTCATAAATTTAAATGTATGAATTTTGAAATATCTTACTTGATAGTCATTAGAAAAACATCGTTTACTTAATATGAGGAAATAATGATTCATCCTGGTTGATGCGTTAAAGTTAAAATGCAGTTAATAAACATTGTGTTGTCATTTTATGACAGATTTGATATATTGTAAATAAACAATCTTAAGGGCAATTATTATATACTTATAAATGAAATATTAATGACATAAAATATGCATTATCATGTCCGTGTTTTCACTGTAAACAAATATTTTTTACTGCAGTGAAGAATTTTTTTTTTCGTATAAAGAATACAATATACAATACAAATACTTTATTGCGAATAAAACATTATTACATTGTTTATAGCAAAAACAAAACATATATATACATTAATGAAAATGAGATCTGACATGGAATGAAAAAAATAATAATAACATTATTTCCTGAAAGGTCTTAAATTCTTAGGAAATAGCAGGTTGTACAAAATTTCTTAAATACGATATTGATACTACATCAAAATGTTAATATGATATTAATTGATACTAATAATCAAGATATTCTCTCTTGATTTGCAAAATATAAAAACTTCGAAAGGTTGTACATGTATAACTCTATTTTCGATTTAGAATTTAATAAAGACTCAAATTCATTAATTGTCGGCCACCTACAGAAATATCCCTTTAAAAACAATTTTCTAAGCTCTCTATATCTAGGACACACCATCAAAAAGTGAAACTCTGTTTCAACTCTGTTCATGCTACAGGACTTACATAACCGTATAAACACTAGTGCCTTGCCGGACTACTTTCTTTCAAATTCAGTCGGTCTATACACAAATTTAAAAGGGAATTCTTTTTAATTAGAAGGTTTATAAAAGAGAAAAAGTATATAACTGCCACTCGTGAAATATTTTTCAGCCACTCGTTGAATAAAAAAATGAATATCCTCTCTATATTACATTGACATGCTTCTGAAATCATTATGCCCCAGATGTAGCATTATTATGTTATGTTATGTTATGTTATTGCGACATTTTATTTATGTCAATCTATTTAATCCTTAAATCATTCTTACATTATCATTTATCCATATTGTTTTTTTCAGGGGAGAGCAATGTTGTATGCACAGTATGTCTACAGTCTTTTTATAGTTGTCTCCCTTCTGTCTTCAATTGGCTCTACAGATGCATCATCCGGCTTGCGTATCACAGTAACTGAATCGACATTAGATATGGGTAAGTGAATACATGATTTAGTATTTCCAGTCAGATATCGTGTGACAAATAAAGATATTTGAGAAATCATGAATGGCTCTCAATCAGTCTTTTTCGTTGTAATATAATTGTTCATAATTGATGAAAGCATCGTTAAACGAACATGCCTGTACTTGGCTACATGGTCATTTTGTATAAAGATTATAAGCTATAAATATGCAAACTATAGGATAATGATAATAATGATTGTATTTTGTAATTATATACGTTAAACATTAACTTAACTTTTTTTAAAGTAAATGTACATACAAAACGTATACAGCTGACGTTATTTGTTTACGTCAGCTTACGGATATACCTCACCGTAAACTGTATACGCTTTTAAACAACGTAAACAGCTCAAACGTAAACCATATTCGTCGTTAGCTTTATACGGTGCAACAGGTCGTCCGGTTGTAAGTGTTGTTGACTTTGAACTCCTTACCACTCGCTGCTATGGGCTGGAACCTGCGAGGAACCTTGGATTCTTTTATATAAGGAAGCTATTCAGCAAGCCTGCTGATGGTCGATGGTTTTACTCATGTGCCTGAAATAATGCCTTAACTCCTCATCAACCAACTGCAGTAATGCTGAAACGGCCCGAATGATCTTATAACAGGGTCGGTGTTAAGATAGACCCAGCAAGTCAAAACAGTACTTGTGTTGCTACAGTCTTTTCTGTCTTTATCTTAGTCAACCAAGCAGAAATAAAAGCATTTCAGACGGATTTAAATGGCAAAAGATTTGATGACATTGGTGAATCTACCGGAGACTTATCATGGAAAGTTTCAAAGTAAATATTTCATTCACTTTTAACGTATCTTTCTAAACAATTCCAGGCGATAAATATCCTGAAAGTAATGGAATGTAAGAAAGCTTAAACAGTATATTACATTTTCCGAAAAACACACATAGCAGATAATACATAAACATGTTTATTGAATTCGAAACTTGTTTCGGAATAACATTTATTTGAAATATATTATTATGTCTGTTTTTTACGGAATTATTACACACTATCAATAATACGGAGTCGTGGCAGAGTCACCTTTTTAAACATTTCTTTTACGAAACATGTCTTGATATATTGTTTGTTTACCCTCGCCACCGGAAAAGAACAAGATGGGCGAGCATGGAAAGTGAAGTGTTATTATATTTTTATTTTATTATTTTAGTATATATGTTCAGCACGTGGGATCTATGACACCAAGCATTAAATTACATAGCACTGGTCAGATCACGTGGACGTGTTACATAAGTTCAATAAAGGTGAACGGACGCTGGAATGCAAAATTGTCAGGCTGGTTACCGTAAGATTATCTAAGATATACTAGTATTGTTTGAAACATTTGCGTTCTATCAAAGGGAATTATTTTTTAACCTGCAATATAAAACGTTTATCTTATACGATTACTAATATTATACAAATTTTCCTTGTAAAATAAAGTCAAACAGAATTCCTGAAAAACACCCAAAACGACAAAATTGAAAAAAAAAATGTCGTAGGCTCGGTTTGATTGAGCCTGTTCATGGACGGTACCGTCTAGATGCCCCTAAGCGCCAGCTTAAGCAGAATTTAACATTTAAACATGAAAATGGTGAAATTTTGAATTTAGAAACAATCGCATCTGTAAGCCTTTATGTTTTAAAATATTCGACAGTTTGGTCGATTTCTTTGTCATTTTAAGAGAACTTTATAAATACATTATATCTTTAGCATTAAAAATTGTTTTAATATTTTGCAGTCTCTCGGCTTCAGGCGATATATCAGCAACAATCTCCGGGACTTCACTCAGTATCTCTCTAACTTTATGTAATTATTTTCTTTTTTTTTATTCATTTATATCATTTGCAGTCACGTAATGGATTGTTTCTTTCTGACTTAAACGTATCATTCAGTAACTAATTACCAATAGATAGAATAGAGGTAAGACCACAACTTGTTTATTCTTTGACCTTCTATGCCGTCAGTTAGCTGACGTCTTGTTCCCGCCTTTCAATGTTTGAAGCTTATTATTTTCGTACTTACTAGCGTCTATTACATAGACCAACATAACTGAAGCCGATAAAGAATAAAGTGAACATTTTTATTCTGAGATTAAAGACATGTGTTAATTAGAGAAAGAATTATGAAACAAAATGAATCCTTGTAAACTAATGGTGGACGGACAAGAAGCCGCTCTTTCCTTATTTTACACCTTTTGTCATCCCTTATTTGAGTTTAATTTTGTGAGCTCATTGTCCAAAATACCAAATCAATTAATGCATGCTCATTTTGTACGCTTATCATTCATACTATTTTCCGTTTTAGTGTCCTGATTCGTAAAAATAAAAAAGAATCTCGTTTGGAATTATATGTTTCATAGTTATATGTAATATGTTGGATAACTAAAAAATAAAGTGATCAAATTTAAAAGAGACTATACTCATATGTCTGAATTTATAGTTTACGTATTTTACATATTTCAGCGGAGAACTTTGGAAGTCTTGGTATAAGTCTAAGTCAGTGCTCAGCGCAGATCGGAAATTTTAACCTCCACTTTTCTGGTAATGTACTGGACGGGCTTCTTAATTCACTCACTGATATTTTTGAAAACGATTTGAAAATGGTTCTTCAGAAGACGGTGAGTATGTTGAACTCTTATTTCATTGTGTTGTTCTTATATGTGTTCTATAACTCCCGCACAAGGGAAATTTGTATAGGTGTTTACTGGTTTAAAATTGTCAGGCCGTCTGGTTATTGAGCCGTCACTTAAGCTGCTCAACCAATTTCAATTAAAAAAAACTTGATGACAGAAACAACTGTATTGACATTCACTTTAATATATCATAAGGAATTCGATCTTGACTAATTTTTAGTCCTTAAATTATACCCAAAACTTAGCTATGATCGACTATAGATATCTTAGTTATTTATAAATGTAGGGTATTCAAACTTTGATATAATAACTATTTTAACATTACCTTTAAGAAAAAATAACTGAACTTGACCTTGACCTTTACATGACGTTTACCTTCATGAAAATATTACTGAATTCTGCTTAAACTGTCAAAAATTTGATAAGTTCAAACACTATGAATATAGCCATTATGATAAGTAAATCATATTTGATTTGAATGTTAAAATGACCTTGATAACTTGCTCTTAAAATGAAGAAGACATTTAAGGTCAAAATGATTATTGAATTTTGCTAACATTAATATATGGTTTACTACTACTATTCTGATATACATTTTCAGATTTGCAATCTTGTGTCAAAAGGGATGGTGGACATTTCAGCCGATATGAAGAACATAATGAGTATATTACCTTTTAAAAAGTATATATTGTTTAAATTCATTGTAAGGCTGTTAATCAAATATTAAAAATGACAAGCTGTATGGTCCACTTTTAAGGCACTACACGTATTTATTGCAGATGAAATGCAGAAATTGTTAGCCACAGATATTGTAACAAACGAATACGACCAAAAGTTCACTTATAAATTTAAACAGCAAAATAATCGGGGAAATATCTCGGTATTTGCATCGCAATGATAAAATATGCTTATTAGCGGACGGGATAATATGACATCCCCGCATGCTTATAAACTCTTAAAATAATTAAAATACTATTTTGTAATTACGGAATACTATATCGTAAAACCGAATTTATATTTCGTAAAAGCGAATTAATATTTCGTAATTACGCATTAATATTTCGTAAAATCGAATTATTATTTCGTAAAAATGAATTAAGTTCCGGGGAAAAAGTGAGGAAAATGTCACCTTAGGGCTATTCATTTACTACTTTTATTTTCATTTTTCAGCCTCGTTTCCAATTCAAGTTATTGGAATTCCACTGACTCTTGACAATGCCTTTACACAAATAGCTGTTTCGAGTGATACTATATCAACCTATCACAAGGTAAATCAACTACATGCAAATAATTAGCCGCCTATGTCACCAGTATAGATAGTCAGTCTGTAAATCCCCTGTCTAACCAGGCTATATTCTGCAGATTGTTTATTTTATTTTAATTTTTATATTAAAATCTCTGTTTTAATCAATTATTCCAAATTGATAGCTTCGCACATAGTTTTTCCTACAAAATCATGTTGTTGAAGATCTACGGTTTATAATATGTTTAAGCAATATGGTCCTATTATTTCGACAGAAAAATGACAGTTGACACATATTTGACGGTTATATTTGAATAGGAATATTTAGGCTTTGTTATTAAAAAGCTTTCTTAAAAATGTTTTCCTTTTTGTATCGTATCGTTTTCAAATTGCATAGTGTATCTTCACCGGAAAAGTATGTACCATATGCTAAAAGTAAATCACCTTAAAGGCTCATTATGCCTCAGAAATGCTATCTTTCTTATTTCTCAAAAAAAAATGCATCTTGTTACAGTTTCCAAAACATACACATTTGCTATATACATGAACTATATTTTGCAACATAAGATCTGTTGGCAATTTATATAATTATAGTGAATAAGTATTTTGTATGGAAGTAAAATGTAAAAAAAATACTTTATTTACAATTTCTTACCTTAACAGTTATACATATATGTAACTGCATGTTCAGAACTACTTTTTCAGTCGTAAAACATCTAATATGCACTTAACGTTATCTTAATATTATTTAACAAATGTTTGACTTTTGTAAAGATATAGAATTCTGAGGCTTTATGTGCCTTTAATAGCCTTTGATGTTATTGGATATACTAAAGAAAGTTTAGTTTTGTTATTGTTTTTTATATCCTTCAAATAATCATTTAAACAATTATGATACGCGAACTACTTTTACAGGGAGCGGTGCATTGGTATGATCATACATTTTACTCGTCTGACGTAAATCAATTTCCGGCTGCGCGCACATCACATGGCATAGCGTTTGATCTGAAAGAAGATGTGTTTAATAATTTGCTGAAAACATACGTAGAAAATGGAAACCTAGATGGAATGATCGGTTACTCAAGGGTAGGTATAACTAATTTTGTTGTCCCGTATTTGGTTATATTTTGGTTTTGTTTCATTTCATACTGACAATATTTAAACAATAAAGCAACTTTCAAGCTTTGGGGAAGACATTTAGGGCCCCTTTGTTCATTATGTAAGGCACACGCGGACGCTTGAGTTAAAATAAAAATACATTCCGTAAGCTAGCCGGATAGGTTCCTGTAGAACCAATCAAAGACGCTGTAACGGAGTAGACAGCCAATCGATCGAGAAGTCATATATTGATACCTTAGTTATAAAAAAAACACATTAATGAAATTTCTTAAAATAGTTTTAAGACCATTTCAACAAAAGAACTATCAAAATATTACGCCAGTTCGCATATTTACAACGGTTAACAAAATGGTGGTGCGTGCACCGTTTTGTACGGAAAGGTAACGCAGTGCTAATGTTTGTCCCGTTATATTGTGACGACGCAAATTATAATTCATTTTTTCACAAACATTTAAAACTTATATATGAATATCAGAGTATGATTTTTCAAAGTGAAAACAAAACTTTCTCTTTAAAGGTTATAACCGAAGGGTTAGACCAGTTTCGTCTTACATGCAAACAAGGCTCGGGTGGATTCTGCTTTGGAAACATTGTAAGACAGGTAAATTTATCTTATTTGTATTATAATTAGAAATAATTTTGCATAATCTTACTTTTTTATTTACTGTACATGGAATTCAAAACCTTATTGTTATCAATACTCCTTTAATGAGGTATTTTCTTTGGGAACAGTGATGAGAAACGTTATTGCAAATTGTATTATAGACTTGTAGCTTCAAAAATACCCTATTGAATTTCAAGATTGTAAAATTTGCCCGTTCGCCCAGATGAACGTATTTTAATTCTGACCAATAGGCAGTTTTCTTGGAATAATAATAATCCAAACAAAAGGCAGTATCAACTTCTTATTGTACTTCAAGAAATAGAGTTTTATCGAAATTTCAATAAATCAGTGGTGTTGAATTAAGTGGCCATTGTATATTGTTACAAAATACAATACTGATTATATTGGACTCGTACACAGCTGCAACTCAGTATTGTACTCAACAATGTATAATAACCTCATAAATGTAATACATGTCAAACATACATGTGATATAATATCATATGCTCAATAATAATTATAACTTATATCTGACAATATCAAACATGTATATAAATCAGGTTGCTGCTGAATACCCAGACAGAGTTTTAGGTATGAGTTGGAGCGTAAACTCGGCTAAATTGAACATTCAAAATGGCCAGATTACTGGTGACGTATCTGGGAGAATCTACTTCAATGTTGACAGTTATAATGAAAGTTTACCATTGTTCTCTGCTGCTGTGGTAAGTTTTACACTACATTTGAGCCACGTCATGACAAAACCAACTTAATGCGTTTGCGACCAGCATGGATCCTGATCAGACTGCGCGGATCCGCAGGCTGGTCTGGATCCATGCTGGTCGCAAACCCATTATGTTGTTTTTGTCGTGACGCGGCTCAAAAAAAGTCAATTGTACCAAAGACCGGTGGGGACATTTCAACTTCATGAATTCCAGATTTCATTTTTGTTAATTCACAATTTCATATTCATGAATTCACGATTTCAACTTAATGAATTCACCATTTTAACTTCACGAACTCACGATTTCAACGTTAAGAATTCAACTTCGTCAGTTCACGATTTAAACTTCGCGAATTAACGATTTATGTTTTGAAATAGTGAATTCGTGACGTTAAAATCTAGAATTCATGAAGCTGAAATCATGATTTCATGAAGCCCGTATGTTAAAAAACGTGAATTCACGAAGTTCAAAATTGTGAATTCATAAAGTTGAAATCCGGAATTTATGAAGTTGAAATGTCCCAACCGGTCTTTTGTACAATTTGTCTTTTTCGTACTTTGTGAAACTAAATTGCTTTAGTTGTAATCAATTTTATTCTGTTATTTTACATGGTAAAACTCATACTCATCCAGATGCAAATATCATTATTTATGTAACATGTGTTTCACTATGCATCAAATTTGATCATATATAGAAGTTGTATCAATGTTTTTACATCTAAGTTAAGAGTTAAATGTTGCTCATATCAGACAAACCGTTAAAACATAATACATTGATCAAAGTTAGTGAAAATGTTAAAAGAATATAAAAAAGTAAAAAATCTAGCATACACCTTAAAGTAATGTATTTGTCTCTTGGTTTACAGGAGTTGACAATTGCATTTCAACTTAAGTTCTCGGCGGGTGTTATCTCTGCGAAGGCATTGTCATGGGGGTATGTCATCTTTGATTTTATGATTTATTTTAGATATATACATTGAAACAACAACTGATTCCCATGGAATTTTAAATTTTTTATTTTTTTTTAATTTTAGATTTATTTCCTGGCAACAAGCAAGTAAAATGTTTGCATTTCGTTGAAAGAAATATCACAAGCGTTACACAAACACCAAAACGAAAACTTTTATGAAAGATCGTGTTCTGTTCAAAGGATTTTCAAAATGTACGTTTAGTGTTCAAACAATTTTGTAAACAAAAGTATAGATCGATAAGCTATAAACAATATCTACAGTATACACGATATCGTTAAGTTCATGAAGTTATTTATTGAAAAAAGACAATATTTATGCCGAGAACAAAAATCATAATAATGAGAACATTATCGCAAAATATTGTACTATATGTTACTATATATATCAGAGTAGAGCAGCATATAATTGAATTATGCAGGTCAATTTCGCTTTAAAACGACTTCACTGAGTTACAGGACTGGAAATAATTTTTCGTCATTAACGTTCTATTAAATTAAGGTCTTGATTAATAAATTGTGTGCACAATTTCAGATCACTAGCTCCCTCTCTGTTTATCCAAAATAAGTATTCCTAATGTAAAAAAATGACCCAAAATTGAAAAAAACGCTGCAACGCCTTTCATTTAAATCGGATCAAGAATAACACAAAAATATTATTTTTTCATTTTATTTCTTAGTAAATCTATATTTCATAACAATCCTTTGCATATCTTTCTGTTTGAAGTGTGCCGATGATCTATGTACGGAATTCATTTATTTTATTACATTAAGGCCTCGCTGGACTTACTAACAATATTGTTGAACATTTTGCATTCTAATTAGGAAGGAAAAACTGATGAATTTTATGAATTTGCACTTTCTATTATCCCTCTTTATTAAATATAAAAATCACCTTGTGCCAGAATATAGCTATACATTATATTTATATTTGTAGAGGACAAGTGACTATTGATAGATCCAGCATAGGGAAAATCTTGGTAAGTTGATGTATCCTCGTTAATCATATTAAATCAACATAAACATTGCACAAGCGTTACATGTTATAATTACATTTACATTATACCATGCAATTACTGTACGTTATACCATGTAATTACTGTAACATAAAACAATGTAATTACATAAACATTATACCATGCTATTACAGTTACATAAAGCAATGTAATTACATATACATTATACCATGTTATTACTGTTACATAAAGCAGTGTAATTACATATACATTATACCATGTTATTACTGTTACATAAAGCAGTGTAATTACATATACATTATACCATGTAATTACTGTTACATAAAACAGTGTAATTACATATACATTATACCATGTAATTACTGTTACATAAAGCAATGTAATTACATATACATTATACCATGTAATTACTGTTACATAAAGCAATGTAATTACATATACATTATACCATGTGATTACTGTTAATTATACCATGTGATTACTGTTAATTATACCGTGTAATAACTGTACATTATACCATGTAATTACATGTATACCGTGTGATTTTTGTAAATTACACCATGTAATAATTGCACATTATACTGTGACATTACTTTTCATCATACCGTGTAATTACTGTACATTATTCTATATAATTCAGTATACATTAATAAAATGTGAACGTAATCATCAACAACGGACGGTCATTTTAACCGCAGCAACCCCAGCAAAGAAGTCTAGCTCCTGTCGCAGGGGCACCAAACTGAAAGGGGACAATTGACGTATTGGTTACCTTACCTCTACAAGGTTCGCAGCGACGCAATAAAGATCTATTTAATATCCAGTAAGCTTTAAATAATCGTAGAAAGTTTATGAAGCATTATTTAGTTATTGTTACATGTTTTATAATTTACAGACGCCAAGTATTGAGGTAGCAGTAAATCTGTTCTTCTTGCCGGCTATAAGAGATAAAGTACTGGATATAATCAACGGTATGTTATTATTTTGAAGTTATATATGTAAACGATACACAACGTCACACCGTATTTCTACTCACGCTTTTATTTTGTATACGATTAGTTATAGTTATGGTATAGCGACGAGACTGTAATGTGGAAATATCATGACCTGAGGCGAAATCGAGGGGTTTTCTCTACAGATAATGATCGAGGCCGTAAGGCAACAGGGAACGTGTTCTTATATTTGCATGCATATGATACAAAAAAAGAAAGAACATCAAAACACTCGACAATCTGATTTACACTTGGCGGCTGTGCCCGCTTGTACAAATCATAAAGCCTCGTTTTTCGATGGTCTATTTGTTACTTATCATATTAGGGCAGTGCCTTATCAACGTAAAGAATAAAATAATTAAGATTATTATAATTAAGATAAACACAGCAAATCATCAATACGACCGTGGACAAAATGGGAGTAAATAAACTGTCGTCCGATTGGTATAAAATCAATGGCTTAATCTCACATTTCATTTTTCATATCAAATTAAACATTTAATAATTGACCATTTACTTCTATTCATAACGTAAACTCAACTTTAAGTATGCATAATATATTGTTGCAAGGATTTTCATTAATTTAAAATTATAGTCATTTTGAAGGGAGATCATCTTATAAAATATTTTGTCTCGTCCATTTTATACTTATTTGATTGAAACCAAATTTTAAATAAAATTTACTTTGTGTTACAGATTTCAAAACAGAATACAAAATTAAACTTCCAAGGCATGTGTTTATCAAAGAAAGCAGCCTTTCCTTGTTTGAGGTATTTCTTGTCTTCTTTTCATTGTCAACTTAATGGTCTCAGTTTTTTCGTTCGTAGGATACAGGACCATCGATCATTATTATATATATAGTATAATCATCGTAGATTTCCAGAACCAAACTGTCATAACATTTTCTATATGATCTTTTTTCAATACTTTCATGCGTAAACTGTCAACCGATTGAAGAATACCTTGTGCACTTGAGGGCACCAGAATAGAAACACCGATCTTCTATACATGTAAAAGAAAAGTCCTAAACAGGCTTTGAGCCAAGACAGATTTGAACAAGTACTACAAATTCAACAATGTTACTTGTTCGGGCTCAATAACCCAAGACCTTAAACATATAGTCATTATTTATATTGGATGACTCAATACAATTCTTATAGGTTTAAATTTTATCTCTGCAAGACAAACATTTTTGTTGTTGTTGTAATTGTTGCAATTTTCGAATAAGTTCAAAGGATATGGTGCATCTGTTTTAAAAAGTAAAATACGAGTTTCACATGTTTAACAATTGGTTCAATTCACAGAACGAATATTTACTAAATATGTGTTGATTGATAATCTATACTATTTGCAGATTAAGACCGAGTAATAAATGAATGTTTAATTTTTTATTTAGGGAGTAGTTCGAATTGAAGCAGATTTGTGCTATAAAACAACATCTTGTCAAACCATCCCCAACGATGTCTGGGTGGGCAGCACCAAAATTCCAAAATTGGTAGTTAGTGATGTCATACCACTTCCTACAACAACTACCACCACTACAACTTCTACCACCAGTACAACTTCTACCACCACTACCTCTGCAAAAAGCAGTACAGCTGATACTCCTACCACCAGGACCGATGCATCTACGGTTTCTGCAGCCCCCCAAACAGCTAAATCTGTTAAGAGCGGACAGATGCCGACAATGGCGCATTCAGTTATAAATTTTATTCGCAGTTTTACGATTGTTATTGCGTATTTGTTGTAAAATGTGTAAAATAAATGCTATATTTCGTCGCCAAATCAAGTAAAAGTAAGTAAAACATAAAGATCAAATAAGTGATTAAGAAACATGAAATAATGTAGAAGTTGACCTACGATAAATTGAATGTTTGACATCACTTGAACCACAAGGAAGTAAATGTTTGACGTCACTTGATTCACGAGGGTTTCTTTAAACTGAGTTACAGACTCAGCTGCAGTAGTTTCCTAATTTGAATCAACTTTGCTTTCATTGATCTTTAGGATGTCCGCTGCTCCTTGTCAATTTAAATCCAGTAAGGAACAGATTTACTATTTATGACAAATAACATCAAAAAAAAAATTATTTTGTAACTCCTGCCTGCTCAATATGTGTAATTTATTTGCTTACCTTGCTTTGATCTGCTTTGACTTTGAAATATTCCATTTGACAAATAAGGTATTTACCAAAAACGGCATTTTGAGCCACTAGTAGCATTCCACCACGTTTCACTCTATGGTTACGGAAGTTGGCCTAGTTTAAAAAAATGCCGCATAATTTATCACTTTTGTTTCAAATAAAGTTGAGGATAAACACTACCTATAAATTTCATTTTAGAGGTATTATGTTCCTAAAAGATATTATGTTCCTAATTTGAAATAATATTCCCGTCATCAATATTAGAATCAGGTTTCGGTATTAGTATGTTTAGTATATGTACAACAAATGTGAATGATCAAAATATAAAGTATACACATTTAATTTTTTCTGGAATAAATTTCATTTCTTGTCAAGTTTTGATTTTTTTTTCAATCCTAAAATAAAAACAGGAAATGTGATATGTTAAAGTTAAAAAGAAACCCATCGGGACGTTTGGTTGGAAATGTAAAGTATAGAACTATAGGGTTTTCTTTCACATTTTTATGTCAATATTCTATTATTAAGGTCGTTTCGATTAGGAAAACCAGAGTGTAAATTGCTAACTTTCCTGTACATGTAAAGAAGCAAGTTTATAGTGAAAATGTTATGTATATTTAACTCAAAAATGCATATAATTGTTACCATTTTACATACTGTTAGATAGTGATTACGGAAAGAGTTTTTAAAAAAGCTTTCAAGCTTACTACTCAATCCGTACTATTTATTATTTGTCAATTATCATGTAAATGTAATACTTATAAATAAAATATTGTTTAAACTAAATGTGAAGTACAATAGGATGATACACAAAAATAAAAGGATAACACAAATGTTAACGTAACGTTGTTATCGTTTGATCTTCTACCTTAATCCTTATTTGACCCAACCTTATCAATTTAGCCCCGTTTTTTATTTTGCCATTACTCCAGTTAGCCTCGTCTTTATTTTTCCACTGCCCCAGTTAGCCTCGTTTTTATTTTGCCACTACTCCAGTTAGCCTCGTTTTTATTTTGCCACTACTCCAGTTAGCCTCGTTTTTATTTTGCCACTACCCCATGTAGCCTCGTTTTTATTTTGCCACTACTCCAGTTAGCCTCGTTTTTATGTTGCCACTACTCCAGTTAGCCTCGTTTTTTTTTCCACTACTCCAGTTAGCCTCGTTTGTATTTTGCACTACTCCAGTTAGCCTTGTTTGTATTTTGCCATTTCTCTAGTAAGACCTCGTTTTTTTTTTGCCACTACTCCAGTTAGCCTCGTTTTTATTTTGCCACTACTCCAGTTAGCCTCGTTTTTATTTTGCCACTACTCCAGTTAGCCTTGTTTTTATTTTGCCATTTTTCTAGTAAGCCTCGTTTCTATTTTGCCACTGCTCCAGTTAGCCTCGTTTTTATTTTGCCACTACTTCAGTTAGCCTCGTTATCATTTTCCAATTAAAATAATATCATCGAGCTACCATTGATCGTTCTCTAGCCTCATTTTAGTTTTGAAAGATAACTCGCATCAAATCCTTATTTAGTCTAAAGTTCCTTCCCCTCCTATGTTACCTTCCGCAGTAAATGCAGGCAGGGAACCAGATTAATCCTTCCCCTCTTATATTACTTTCCGCAGTAAATGCAGGCAGGGAACCAGATTAATCCTTTTGAGTAACAAAGTTTGTCAAAAAAATGTCAATGTGAAATTGTTGCTGGGAGACATTATTGAATATTAATACAGGTTTATTTGACCGTGCCCGCCCCATATTTAAAACTTTGCTAAGCCCCCTTCCAAAACAGTTTGGAGCTTTGTATCGTAAAAAAAATAATTCATTGGGACTAAAAATTGTACATAAAAAGTAATGAAAGACCCGAAAAACCCAGGCTATTGATTTGTACAGGGGGCGTGCCCCCAGTTAAAACAGATTGGAGTGTTTTGGTGTTCTTTTCTTTTGTATATAGTCAAATGACAGAATTTCCCTTTTTGTTAATATAAAAAAACCAAAAAAAATTTAAAACCATAAAAGAGCATTTGAATATGAATTTTCCCCTTTCCTTTCCTCCCTCAAATATGAAAACCCCCCAGCAAAATGAACCAAATTCAAGGGCATTATCTGGATGCGGGGTAATGATACCTGCACTCTAGTTTAAGGCATGTTCATGTTATGTAATCGATTTAACTCTGACACTTTTTTAACAGAAAGGTCCCCAAATCTATGATACAAGTAATAAAGAGCACCGAAACACGCAGGCCCTATCTGATTTGTACGAGGGGGCGTAGCCCCCGAGTATAAATAGATTGCCGAGTGTTTTGGTGTTCTTTTCCTTTTGTAATAGTCAAACATAAAAACACGTTCCCGTGTTGTACAATTTTAAACCCGGAAAAAGTAACAATGAACGAGCATCTGAATATTGATATTTCTAACCGCTTTCCCTTTCTCTGCCGTCACAATATGTAAACCCCAGCAAAAAAAGGTGAAACCAATCAACGGGCATGGATCTGGAGTGCGGGTACTGATACCTGCACTCCAGTTACCGCACTGTTGCATGCGGGTATATGTTATAGCGATTTAAACTCTGACACTTTTTCAACAGAAAGGTCCCCCAAACTATGATACAACCTCATCTTATCGCATGGTTTGGAACTTTCTTTGTTCTTATTTAACCCATTATACTCAGTCTCTTCAATGAGCATTTCAAAACTGTATTGATATTAAAGTACAGTTTTTTCATTGATTCATATAGGAAAAAAACTCGACTGTTTATATATCGGTCGAGTTTTTTTCGCAACCTTTGTATATATATCAATGGCAGTTTTTTCATAGAGGTCCAATGGGGCAGTGGTAACGACATTCCCAGTAAAATAAAAAAAAATAAAAAATGAATTTAATAATATAAAAAATAAATTTATATATATATAAATAATACAATGAAAATATGAAACGGGGCGAAATAATTAATGAAATGAAATTAACTCTCATTTAATCAAAAGGTACATCCGCTGAATGAATTTATTTTCACTGAAAAGCCCTTCAATCTTAAATCAAATCTTTGTAACAGTTTACAATCCGCCTCTAATTATTAATTGGATGTCTTTTGTATTATTTTTTGCGGCAGCGAAAAAAACTTGAAAAACTGCTTATGATAAAACTGTAATGTGGCTAACGATTAATTTTTTATTTGTTTCTATACAAAAAAAAGCAAACAGTATCCCATTGCGATAAAACAGTTATATTATATGAAACTCGTTTAGTTACGGGGGTATAACACTGGCTGGGGCGACATTCGGGATGCTTCTGCAAAAAAATAAATTGTCTCGGCTAACGGCCTCGCCTTTTTTAGCAGAAACACCTTGATGTCGCCCCAGCCAGTTGTTATACCTCGTAACTAACTCGTTTCATATACTATAACTATTACTTATCAGATGTCTTTTATTGTGACCTATGAAGTATTATCAATATGTATCTTTTTGTGTTAGACCTGTGTTGTATAACGGCCACCGCTTTATATGTTACGAGTCTGTTTATAAATAAATATAAAGTTATTAATGGGTTCTTTTTATTCCTTTTACTCGTGTGATATAAGTAATAGTTATAGTATATGAAACGAGTTAGTTACGAGGGTATAACACTGGCTGGGGCGACATCAAGGGGTGTTTCTGCTAAAAAATGGCGAGGCCGAAAGGCCGAGACATTTTTTTGCAGAAACATCCCGAGATGTCGCCCCAGCCAGTGTTATACCCCCGTAACTAAAGAGTTTCATATACTATAACTGTTTTATCGCAATGGCATAGATGTTTTCTCTTTTTTGTATAGAACAAATAAATAAATTAATCGTTAGCTCATTACAGTTATTTATCATAAGGCAGTTTTTCAATTGTTTTCGCTGCCGCAAAAAAAATATACAAAAGACATCAATATAAGAGGCGGATTGTATACTGTTACAAGATTGATTTAAGATTAAAGGGTTTTTTTCATTTCATTAATTATCTTTGTTTATATTTTTCATTGTATTTATATATTTATTTTTATTTTATTTTATGTGATTTCATTTTTTTATTATCTTATGGGTTTTTTTTTTTTTTTGCTACTGGGAATGGTCGTTACCACTGCCCCATTGAGAGCCTCTATGAAAAAACTGTATTGATATATACAAGGTGCGAAAAAAACTAGACCGATATATAACAGTACAGTTTTTTTCCTATATGAATCAATGAAAAAACTGTACTGTTATATATCAATACAGTTTTGAAATGCTCATTGAAGTGTACTGAGTATAATGGGTTGGAAAGAACAAAGGAAAAGCTCACAGCCATGCGATAATACAAGTATACTCGCCTATAGGAAATATACAGTATATTTATATACGCTCGACATACGCAGACATAATAACATTTTGAGCATGATCTCGATTCATTAAAGTTAAAATAGAATGACAGGCACTTTCATGTATTTGCTATATTGATTACATTGTATGTTCACCATATTACTTTGAAATATTGCATATATCAGTAATTGAAACAAAGAATAATCTAAAGTACATTACATACAACTTACGTTGGTAAATAAAAGTTCAAGCGAAGTAATATCGTGCTCGTTGTAAACTTTTTTAGGCTAGGTCATTAGAATGTAGGCAGCTCAAACACTCAGCCAACTGGTATGCTACACATAGTTTCTCCCATTGTCAGGGCTGGGAATCAAAACTGCGTCGTATTTACAAAATGTAAACAAAATGTTAACAAACGCCGCCATCTTGGATCCAAAAATGTTTTTGTTTATAACTTCTTTTTTTGTTGGAAATGACAGAAAACCAGATATATGTATTAACAAGCTACACTATTTTCCGCTTCGTTCGGTATATGTTGCTTGCACAACTTTTTTGTAAAACAAAAGTTATAGCGAACTTGCAACTCGAAGCGGAGCAGAATTTTTATGAAAATGTGTGGATACGACGCAGTTCATATTGCTTTATCTATCGTTTTTTCCTTCAAATCAATTATATATTTGTTTCAGAGTTCACCATAAACTTCGAAATATAATTTTGCATCATTTACTAAAATGTCATTAAAAAGAGATGTTTATTTTCTAAGAAAATAATGATTTTTACGAAATGATACGACGTAGTTGAAAATAAAATATGATAGGACGCAGTTGTATTTTTTGCAGTCTTTTCAACAGGGATAATTTTGGCAATATATATTTCTTTTTTATGGAATAAATACTTGCACTAGATAAAAAAAACCCAGATCATTTGCGGTGTATAGCAATGTTCTGTTGCTTTTGATTATTTAGAATACATAGTGTCATGTCCAATATAACATTTAATTTGAAAGTTTACATTACGGAAGCTACCTACATGAACATGTTACCTAATTGGTTATAATATCTGAAATAATTTCTTAT